GATAAATATGGACGTCCAAATGAAAATACACCAGCCGAATGGCTTACAAAACTATTGATATCAAATAAAAAACCTCTATCAAGGTGAAGAACGAGTGACGAAACCAAAATCTGAAACACAAAATTTCTGATATCAATTTTGTGACGAAAATAGTTGGTAGATATATTTTCTGTGTACTGTGAATATAAACTTAATATACATTTGTATATTCGAAACGTTGCAGAAATTCTCTCCTTTTTACTTTGAGTTCATGCTGATGCAATGAAGCAACGTTCCGAAATTACAAATGTATATTAAGTTTATATTCACAGTACACAGAAAATATATCTACCAACTATTTTCGTCACAAAATTGATATCAGAAATTTTGTGTTTCAGATTTTGGTTTCGTCACTCGTTCTTCACCTTGATAGAGGTTTTTTACGTAGGCGACTATTTAAGTTTCTTCAATATGTATGTTTTAGTATTGCCCGATGCAAACCATTGTCATATTCGTTAAGTTTAACATTAAGACACAAACGAAGAAGAACCACACAAAAGAGAATACACAAAACGATATTTTGTATGAAAATTAGATGGACAAATATAATTTTAGACGGATTGTCAACTAGTTTCGAATTTTAGATGTCATCTAGTTTTCATTGAATAGTTTTTTGTGTGTATGTTTTCAATTTCATCTATTTTGTTTTAAATATTTTTCAATTCTCAGTTTCTTGACTGTAGATAAATTTACTTCTAAATCAATTAAATTAGTATCACTGTTTGGTATTTTTTTCGTATAATAATCATTGAAAGTATATATATTTTGTATAATCGCTCCTTCTAATTGGTATATCAAAAAATGGCGTAGCTCGTGTATAATGCGCTGAATCGTAATAATTCAAACACTTTGATATATGAACCGACTTCAAGTCTCCATGAATAATTTTTATGATGAAAGACACTTGCGCCACCTCTCATCTCTCCTCAAGCGTTATCATTTGTAGGAACAGCAATCTTTAGTCATATTTCGAAAGTCTGTAACTGTTCCAGTCCATTTTCCTTACCACATAAAGTAAAAATTGTTTTTGTATTGACTCTATTCTTTTAGGACATGTGGATTCCATATTTCCGATCCATATTCGATAATTGGTAATACAAATGTATAATAAAGGCGTTTAATTGTCCATGGGTCGAAAAAATCCTTGCTGTTGAAATTTAACCAAGCCAATCTTGATTTGGCCTTAGCCGTGACATGCTCAATGTGTGATTTGAAATTCATTTACACATCATTTTGTACGGCTCCTCTGTTGTAGTTGAATTCATGTTGCAGTGAGCCCCAATGATAAGATATTATTTCTGTTTTGTTGACATTTAATTTTAATAAATTGCGTCCATAATAATCCGATACATGATGAAAGACATTTTGAAGAGTAATGCAGTCATCTGTTGAGGTTATACATTTAGAAAGTTTTGTATCATCTGCGAATGACAGTATGCATGAATTGGTCACAACGAAAGGTAGATTAATTACAAACATGATGAACAAACTAGCGCCAATGGGATATCCTTGTCCCAGAAGTAACTTCGATTGGGTTGGATTTGATATCTGCAATCTTTACACTTTGTCTGCATCCAGACAAGTAAGTTCCCATTTAATCCCATGAGGTCAAGCTTTTGAATATGTAATTTTAAGTTAACCGAGTCAAAAGCCTTTGTAATGTCCAAATAGATTGCATCTGTTTGATGTCCCCTTCCCATGCTGATAATCGTTTTTGATGTAAATTCCACTAAATTTGTTATCGTTTACCTGTTTTTGATGAATCTATGCTGACTTTCGTGGACGATGTTCTTCAGATGTAGATTGAGATGGTCTGTGACGATCGAATCGAGAATTTTTGACACAATGAAATGTAAGGCGACGTTAATTTTGAAATTATATAGACAAATACAATTCTAGATTTCATGTCATCTAGTTTTCCTTGGATATTTTTTTCTGTGTATTGAAATGTGTGCTCAAATGCACTCCTCGTATGGCTTAAGTTCTAAGTTTCACGTTTCAGTAACAGATGGAAAAACACGACTTATTTTGCGACTTTGTGAACATATTTGACTTATGGTCAAGATATTGTTGTAAGAATGAAAGTGAGTCAGGATGTGAAACGTAAAACCTTAATTTTCTTTATTTCATTTTTTTCAATTGGTTTCGCTTTGTTTAAATATAAAAACTTAAATTTGAAAAACAATGAACAGTCAACAAAAGCACGTCTTAACTTCTACTGATATAAAACGACTAAAAAATATTCTAACATTTGTTACTTAAACGATTTCTAAATAAAAATTAACCAAAACCAAATCATGTTTAACTGTTTACAACGGACGTTGTGAAAGTATTAAATTGTTTCGATAGTGTTTGTATGACGTTTATCTTTGAAATATTTTGGATGTGCAATTGCCAAACGGAGTTTATCGAAGAAGCGTTCTTCACCCCAATGCAAATTGATGTTTGCAGTTAAATATGCTCTTATTTCCGATTGAAAATGTTTGATACGTCCTATGTCTCCCTTTGTTATTATGACGACACGCGAACGTTTTTCATTCAAGGCGTTTTGATGAGCAACACGAAATCCCATCAATCCCCAAACATCAATGTCTGTAAATAAAAACTGACATAAATACCACAAGTAGATGGGTGAAAACTCTTTTGAAAATTTACCCGAGTGTTGACCCTTTGTTTCACGTTGCTTTAGCTTATCAAAATATTCAATGGAGTTAGGTGATAAAATTACAATAGTTTGACGTGATTTTTCCACACATTTTGCGATCTAAATTGAGAAGAAAAAATGACCAAACGAACGAACATGATTATTGTTTTCAAGTTTTAATGATTGACTGAACGTTCGTTGCAATGAGCGCTAATATCGTCGAAAAAACTCGCCGATTTCTGTTACTAGTGGTGTTTTAATACAGCTCGTGTAAACGTACAAAGGAACACACTGACTCCGATTCTGTGTATGCGTATGTATTACAAATTCTGCACTCAGTCGTCAATCGTAGCTGCTTGTGCAAAATTTACAATACATACGCATACACAGGATCGGAGTCTGTGTGTTCTTTTGTATTAGTTCGTCTGTAATACAGCCATAGCCGTATAGTTCGTTCGGGCTGTGTCAAAGCAACAGTAGTAACAAAAATCGGTATCTTTTTTAACAGATGTCGTATTCGTAGAATCGATAAAATTAATTTGTATGGGGAATATACGATACTAGTTCCCATCGGTTCGTTGTATTTGATTTTCATTTAATACCTGATCTGGCACGATGTCACCGCCTTGCATTTCTCGCACTAACAAGCAGATTTTCAACGATTTTGGCCCGATATTCTCCAATTGTGGCATCACATCATTGGCGACAAATTTTTCATCTAACGTTGCATACCATATGAAAGCGTCGTATTCTTTGTTGCAATCGACATTTGATTGTTTGCCAAAAAACCATGTTGCATTTTTCGAAAATAGCCAAACCATCATCTCTTGTTGTTTCATGTAAAAAAATGTTGTGCACAACGAAGTCAATGCAACCAATATAATTAGGATTATCAATATTGGTGTCTTATCGATCGGGCACAGTTGCTTTGCATCGATCATGTTCAACTCCTTATCATTTTCACAGATGAAGTCGTTGACGTTCATAATTTTTGCGAATTGATTTTTAATGGACTTCATTGTCTTATATGCAATACAATCACAAATCCATGGATTCTCTCCAAATGAAATATTTTGAAGGTTGTTCATGTGACTGAGCTTATCTAATGCCTCCAAACTAATCCGTTTTAATTTATTGCCCGATAAATCTAGCACCATTAAATTATTCGGCAAATTTTCAGCGTTAACATTTTCCATAAAATTGTTCTTAGCGTAAATGTGATTTACATAGTTTTTGTCGGTTACATTGCCCATTTCCAATAAGGTAATATTATTATTCTCGATGTACAGTTCAATAAGTGGCAATTTTAATCCCAAATAATGGCGAACGCTTTGTATGTCAGGAATTTTTGTTAAATTTGCATTCGAACAATTGTAAACAGCTGCTGTATTGACGGGACGTACATAACATGAGCATCGATTAGGGCAATTGGTATAAGGCAACGAACAAGTAAATTCGGTCAATTGAATATTTTCAAGCGGTTTCTCTGCGAATTGCTGTGGCGTAGAACATTTCAAATGATTTGTGATGAATTTAATGCGATTTTTTTGTAAACTCAACGATTGATTACGCAACGCTGTGGCAAAATGAATGAGCAAACAATCACATTGCAATGGATTATTGTTTAAAATCCATTCGACTTGTGATTCATTTTCAATAAGTGTAAAATCATGATGTACATTCAATGCTTTGATATTGTTACGTGACACATTTATACGAATTGGATTGGTCCAATTGTTGAAAATAAATCGAAAATCAAGCAGTTCGATCTTGTTGTTGCTTACATCTAATTTACTTAGTGCAAGATTCGATGTATGCCAATCATGTAAGAATGTAGTCATTGAATTGTTTCGCATGTTCAACTCTTCCAATTGATCTAAAGTTTGAAACGGTGATGCTCTCTCAACATCCCACGTTTCGCCGAAATTTTTAAAGTTCAACATATTATTTTGCAGGTGTAATAATCTCAAGTCGGTGCCATCCAATGCAGTCATATGTATGGTGTGTAAATTATTATTATCCAAATACAGAAATTGCAAATGCTCTAATTCAGATATCAATGACCTGTGTGAAGAGAAAAAGTAATAAAAAAAACACGCTTTTTGAATTATCTCGACGATTCCATGCGCTATTGAACAGAATTATCCTTTCTATTTTAACGTATTCTTAAAGCGAAAACAGTTGAGAAAAAAAATGTCCAATACCTTGATATGTTACTGAGACGATTGTACGATAGATGCAATACGACCAGACGTTTGTTTTCGTTGAAAATGTCATTATGAAGTGTTTGCAATTCGTTGTGTGCCAAATTCAGTTCAATTAGGTTCACTTGATGTTTGAAGAATGTCAAAGGGATTTTGGTCAATCTATTGTGTTCCAACGACAGTTTTTTCAGGTTTGATGTTTTCAAAAACGAACCGCTTGGCAAAGCCCTTAAATCACAATTGTCAAACTGAATAGCATCAAAATGTTGCAATTGGTCTAACAAAAGATGTGTTCGTGACGATGTATGTAATTCATTTAAATAATTGCAATTTAATTCAATACATTTCACACTAAAACAAAATACCATTATAAGGTATAATAAAAACGCTTTCCAACGATACAAATCAAACATGCTGAAGTCACTCTATTTCGATGTACAACTAAAAAAAAAGTAAAGCCGTACACACCGTTTGATGTTTGCACCGGTTACAAGAAAAAAATGGATTACAAAAAAAAACTTCTGTTCAATGTGTGCACTTGCAAACAATGCATATTCGCAGAGCAGATGGCGTTCAACTGTCAAAAATAATATTTAAAACAAATAAATTGCTACAACTGAGATCTTATTAATCAACTTAGTTCACTTGGCATTTATTTTTCTTAGCTTGATTTATTTCTTAACAATAACAGATATCGAATGGTGTTATTTAATTTAGTTTGAATATTTGCTGATTCGATCACCAATTCCACGGCTTGGTTAAATTTTTCCTGGGCCATTTGTAAGCTACGCGGAACGAGTACACCAAACCAACGAATTGCATCGATGAAACCATTCTCCTTGTCCACCGTGTGTACACTGAGCTCAAATTTATTATCAATTTCATCTTCTGTTCTGGTTACTGTTTTCAGGGCATTGAATTCGTTACTGTTTTCGGTGGGCAACTGTGATTTGGACACAGTTTGTGGTCCTTGAATGTACCGTGATTTAGCCAAAAGCAATTGTCCAGCGTTAGTTGTTGTCTCGATATTCATTTTACACAAAACTGATTGCTCAACGAGATCCAATAAATTGATCAATAGTTTATCTTGTAGTTCTTTTTCCAGTTTGGACATTTTTCTTCTTTAAATTTATATTTTGTTTTTCTTTCAAATATTTCGAAATGTTTCGGATCGAATTCTTTCTCTTGTCAGGTGATTTGTTTTTAGTATTTGACACATTGAGTGCTGCCCTCTTTAGTAGCTGAATTGCATTTTCTGATTACAAATGACAGGTTAAACTCAAATTTTCGTAAATATACCAAACAAGAGGTTAACTATTCATTAGCTGTGGCAAGCTGATTCAGAATGTTTTACTAATGTAAATTCGCTTAACCTAACATAATATTAAAAATGTACAATGTAACCTAGTCTTTATGAAATGCTTTTAAATCGACATTGAGATCAACTTTGCGTAACAGATCTTTGGCTTTATTCAATGACGCCGGACCATGTGAATTGTCTTTTGCCATTTCAAACAGATCATTCATATATTTGTCGATATTTTCAATGTTTGCCCCGTTTGGTTCGCCGGGAATCGAGAGATTTCGTAGTTGTGTTGCCAATCGTTGACGTAATGTATTCAAATAGGTTTCAAGTTTTTCGTTTTGTTTTTGAAATTCCGTAATTTCATCGTTCGTTTTATCAATACCGGTTCGAACATTTTCCACATGTTTTTCCAATACGGCATTCTGTTGTTCATAGTCGGTGTTCATTTTGCGAATTTTTTTCAATTCGGTTTCCATTTGACGATTGTGTTCGAGAAATTTGTCGGTGAAAATTGGAATTGAACCGAAAATCGGTGTACCGTTACCGTCGATTTGAGGCGGTGTAGGCGGTGGAGTGTTCATCAATGAAATTGATGATGTAGCCGGCTGTGGCTCAGTCTTCTTCAAGACATTCTGGGCTTTTGATTTTTGTGATGACTCCGAATCAATGTCATTTGCTTGATTTTCACTCGTTGATGCCGTGGTTTTTTTCTTCTTTTTCTTTGGACTCTCGTCAACTGTTGACACAGATGTATCGGCATCTTTTGCAGCTTTTGATGACTTTTTCTTACCCTTTGAAGGTGATGCACTTTCTCGTTCGGCTTTTCTCTACAAAAAAAAAACCGTAAACATTGAGAATTTTGCTTTGGAAAATTAAATCAATCTCTTACCATTTTCTTGTTGTAAGCTTTCATTTCCAATTTGTATCTACATTGAAAATAATCATTTAATATTAGTGAATGATGAAAAGTAGACATTGGTTTTGTTGTGTGTACCTGATTTTATCTTGTTTGGCCGCATCCAAATATGGTTGTTTCTTGTCATCACTCAGCGTCATCCATTCTTCGCCGATTTTCTTGGTCACTTCTAAATGATGCATATCAGGAGACTCTTTACGCAACTCTTCTCGACGAACGTTCATATATCGCACATATCCTACATTTACATCGATGAACAGTTATTAACAGATATTCAAACAAATGACTAATAATGACTAATACATACCAACTTTTGGATATTCCGGCTTGTTTGGATCTTTTTTTACTTTGGATGATTTCTTTTTTTTGGCCGACTTTTTATTGGTGCTGGCACCGCTTGTGTTGTGGCCATCACTAGATTCAATGGATCCGGACTTATTCAACACAACAGTTGATGATGTATCCATCTCCTCGGTGGACTTGCCGGCAGTCGCATCAGTATCTTTCTGTGCTGGACTCATATTCGATTATTTGTTGTATCAGACTTACCTGTTTTTTTTTTTTTTTAATTTACAAAGTGACTGTGTTTGACATAGAATTCTTCGCAACGACTTGATTACTTTGGCTCACAAAAGTGTAATACAAAATGAAAAACCAAGACATTTGTTTATATATGCTCTTATTGTTTGCTATGATGTTTGCATCTATACATCTGTCAAAGTGATTCAGCAGCATCAATCAGCAATACATTTGTGCTGAATTCAGTATATTGTTTAATACACACATCGGATAGCACTACAACATGTTGGCATTTTGTTTGTTTCTTTTTTTTCGTTTATTTATTCTCGTGTATTTATTCGGTAAAGGGTATTTGTTTTTTGTAAATGTCCGTAAATGTTATATTATACAAATACACAATACCAAATGACTGTCATTATGTTACATATCTGAATGTTATAGAAAACAAAAAATGGTTTACAATCTGGTCGAATACTCTATAAACCGTTTTACGATTTAAATGTTTAATTAATAATCAAAAGCATACTGTCATGCTAATGGTGATTTTGTGCGGATCTTTAGTTCACACGTTCCTCATGCTACACGTGAATATCAAAGAGTTTAGCCACTTCATTAAGGTCCTCATATTTTTTATCTTGACTGAGCACAGCTCGTGCTGTGTTAATGCGATTAAATACATTCCATAGTACGATTCCAACGATTTTTTCATCTCTCATATAAAATACAACTCCTTTTGAAAAGTCATCTTTACTATTGTTGGCTGAGTCGGCAGCCTGAACTGATGGTGTCACGGTTGATTTTGAATCTTCGGCATTTCCTGCTGATGTTTCGGGTGATTTTTTCACAAAAACACTAACTGTGGGTAGTGTTGAATCAATAATTCCAAGTGCCTCATAACCGACTTGAGGTCCCAGATCGGACCAAAACATACTCTGATGTTTGTATGGTTTATCTACACGTGTAAAAGAATAAAAATTTAAGAATATTTTTATGAGATGATAAATAACATTTACTTACGTTCTCCGGCCATATTTTCTCCAGCCAATCGACCACTCACTACGGCATGATCATGATGTTCAACTCTTCGACGACCAAGTCGTTGATCATAGAAGCAGGCAGCATCACCGGCCTTATTTTAATTAAAAAAAAAAATGAAAGAAATTAAATATTATCGTGAATATTACCATTCAATTCTTACCACATAAAGATTATTTCTAGCTGCGAGTTCGGCATTCACCAAATAACCGCCATGTGTAGTCTCAATTTCCAAACCAGATTCTTCGCCTAGAGTTGTATTTGGCTCAGATCCTACAGCAACCACAACATGATCACAAGCAATCGTTTGCCCATTTTTGAGAGTCAATTTCACTTCGTTGTTTACCAGATCAACCTTTTCAACTTCAGTGTTTGGAATGACATCAACACCTTCTTCACGTACACGTTCCGTTGTCCATTCACTTAAAAATTCCGGCAAAACTTTGCCCATGTTACCTTTTTCATGGAACACTTGATGCACTTTCAGATTTTTATTTTCACCTATAAAACGATTATATTTTTGTAGTCTTTGTAAATCGAATGATCACAAAAACTTACCGTATTTGGCCAATGCACAAGCCAATTCACTGCCAAGAAAACCACCACCAATAATTGCCACTGATTTTGATTGATCAACATATTTCTTCAGGCTACCATAGTCTTCGATGGTTTTAAAGAGAGAAATGCGTTCTTTTATTTTTGATGGAGCACTTTCGAAAACGGGCAAATTCTTGGGTGATGAACCAGTTGCAATCAAGCACTTGCCATATTTAATTTCGGTGCCATCGGTCAGTATAGCAATGCGATTTTCAACATCAATCTTTTTAACTGTATAACCACGTACAATGGCAACACCACCATTGTCTAATTCCATTAACTTTGTTGGATGTGTATAAAAATCATTTGGCTCATAATAGAGACTTCGCTCGATTCCATTCCATTGCTTGAATTTCAATGGTTCTGTATCACCTTGATTGCCGTTGTTTGGTTTTGTTTTGCCAGATTTTCCATCTTTCATGCCATTCAAAGCTTCATCAGCTAACCATAGCTCTTTTTTATGATAAATAATAATAATGTAATAAAATTGTAATTAAAAAATTTGTGTGACCACCAATCAAATTTTCTACCTTTCGAAAGTGGTGGTCGCATATAAGGTGTTTCAATTTCATCCGACAATACTATAATTTTTGCCTTTGGATCCATGCCTAGGGTTAATCACAAAGAAAAGAATGGAAATAATGGAAATTAATCAATATTATTTTTAATTTATGTGTTGGATCCAATTATAATTATAGTTAAAATTGTTATCAACACTATAATTAAAAAAAATAATTATAATTAAAAACAATTTAACAACACTATAATTATAATTGGATCATTAAAACAATTTTAATATAATTGGATCCATGCTCTTAATTGCCCGAAACGCTGCAAAACTGGCTGTGCCACCACCTTTATGTTTTGTGAGAGAAAAGAATTAAGTCAAATTAATCTTGTTTCAAACAAATTTACTTTTCTCTATTTCTTACCGATCAACAAATATGGAACATCTTTCGGAATTTCGGCGGCGGTCAATGGAACTTTTGCTATGGGAACGAAATGGTGTTTTACTTCAGTTTTTTTTTTTTTGTTCAAAGTGTAAACTCACGTTTTTTGGGAGGAGATGACTTTTGTAGGGTCTCTTGAGGTTTATCTGTTTTCTCTTCCTTGGAATTATTCAAAATGTATGCTCCGCCACCAATCATAATTGCGGCCGCGGCACCAATCCAAAGATATTGGTTCGCTGATGATGAGGATGGTGATGACGGAGGCTGCGAAGCATTCTGCTTGCTTGATGACTGGAATTGTCGACCTATTACCATTGATGGTATAGTCTGTTTTGGTTGTACTTCAACATTATTTGTGATGTCTGGCTTACTTGATAGCTAGATAATTTGAAAAAATTAATTTATTTTTTAGTTTTTTTTTTCAATTTTGTAAAAAAATATCAACTGAAATTATGGCACATCTATTTGAGAAAATATATAAAAAGTGCCAATACTTTATGATAATAAGATCTACTCATACAAAACGTGAACTATTGAAAAATGTTCAGATCAGACATAAAAAATCTTAAAAGCATAAAACAAACCAACTGAAAAAAATACACAAAATTAATCGAATAAAAAATGAAAAAATATCATCTTTTGAAAAAAAATTGAAAATTGTGAAAAAGCTAGAAAAACATGGTTAATTTTACTAATGCTTCGATTCGTTTTTCAGTTTCCGTTTTTCCACTCGGGACAGTTTTGGTAGCTTCTTTATTTTGTGTATTCCTTTCGGGTAGTTTACATGCTAGTAGTGGCGCATTTTCAACTTTGTTAGAGGTGGTGGCTTTTTCAGCCGTTTTGTCAAGAGTGGCAACTGGTTTGCTATTCGTTTTAGTTTTGGATTGAGATTTTTTTATTTCATCCGTTGAAAATGGAAAAATAGTAAGTGCTGGTTCATCGGCCAGTTTTTTGGCTTTATGTCCATTTTTATTTACCAGTCCATTGTTTTTCCCGCTTTTTCTACCACTGTTCACACTTGCGAAAAATCTCAACTGAGAACCTAAGTAAAGTGTTCAGAAAAAATATATTACAACTCAATAGAGGTCATAAAATTGTCTTTTGTAAAACATTGTTTCGAATGATGGTTAAATACATACTCGATTGAATGTTGGGCATAAACCGTCTACACGGCAGCAATGATAAACGTAATAAACTCATCTTCCCCTTTGAAAGTCTCCCTTATTGTTTAATTCTGTGCAAAATAGTAGATGGAAAGAAAACGCAAATTAAAACACCATATATTGTAAAAAATGATGCTAATGTTGATGAGATAAAATCAATAATGATCGAAAACACTGCAATCGTAATCCTAACCTAAATACACTTGATTTGACGAAGATATAATCTTGAATCCAATTTTTTTGATAACAACACCATCAAGAAGTATTGAATTTTCTCGTGATCACAGTAAACCGTGAAAAATGTATCAAATTTTATTGCAAACCAATGTAATAATACCGTAAAAAGTGATTGTTTTGAATGAGAAGTCTACATGCATGGAAGGGAACAGCAATTTTATTCGTGTGTTTTGTTTTGGAACTGACATTTCCATTCATTAAAATGTCACTCATACATAAGCGCGCAGTATCTGATAACAATGTATTTTGACAGTTTTTTAAACCGGTTTTTTGTGCATTTTATTTGCTTTTGATTTTTAAACATTTATTTTCGTGTGTGATTGGTATATTTTATCTGTAAAAAATCGATTTTCAATATTTTAATTGAATTAAAAAAAAAACGGTGTAAATTTGTATTTCCGCACATGCTCATTTCATTTTCAAAACAAAGCCTCTTTGGGCGAACTGTCAAATAGAGCCCAAACATCAACGTATGCTACTTGTGTCATCGCCTAAAAAATTAGTATTATACTCTACAGAGTGGCAGAGGGCGAAAAGTGTTCATTTCAACAATTGTCGATTATTCTTTATCCGGGAACGATCAAAGAGATGAATACTAAAAATATCATATTACTAACTTAATATTATTTTAGGGTTTATTGTAAATATAGATTTTTTCCAAAGACAACATTCTAATTTTCAATAATCAGTATTTGAACGTATATAAATTACACACAAAAACAATTACCATGGATCTCCATTTACCAGTCGATGCAAATAAAGTGAGTTCATTCGATTTATTTAGCAATTATTTCGAAATTAAATTTCATCATCATTTCACTGTGTGTATTTAAACAGAGCTTTGATGAATTGACGCCTGAAGAAAAGCTGAGGTAAGCAAAATGAAATGTTTTGAAACCATTTGCAACCAGTTGTGCAAATAACGTTGGATAATTTTTTGATTTTAATTTTAACAATAGGCTTGAACATCAACGAATGCATGAAAAACATAAAGGGCACGATGCCATGCACGCTGAAATGATTATCATTTTATTTGTGACATTGATTTTAGCACAGGTTGCATTGGTCGAATGGAAGAAACGTCATTACAGATCATATTCGGTATGTCACAATTGAATTTTATTATGTTTATAATCGTTGACGGTATTTTAAATGTTTCATTTCATTTGGAAATAGTTCATAACTTTATTGGGTTTATGGATAATACCAGTGTGTGTTTGTATAAAGAATCAATGGTGGCGTTTCATATTTTTCTGGTTGCTGTTTTCGTGTATAACTATCCTGGTTGTGCGCAAGGCCATGACTAGACCAGTAGCTGGAACGACTCCACGGTAAAGCAAAACAACCAATGTACCTCCGATTGGCTAGCTAAATGGACTAACATGTCTAATGTGATTTAACTATTTATTTCAGGCTGGTTTACAAATGGTTCTACTTCATCTATAAATTGAGCTACGCTCTTGGAATCATCGGTTACATAGTAATGATGCTAACATTCGTCGGATTTAATTTTATATTTAATCAACCACCGACAACTTGGTAATATATTTTTTTTTTTCAATTATGACCATAACTATCAATTTCTTATTGTTTTTGTTCATTTGTTTCTCATTGATAACCAACTAGGATGGACGTTGGATTTATGTGTGTATACTATGGCTTATATTTTGGAGTATTGGGGCGTGATATTAGTGAAATCTGTGCGGATAAAATGGCAGCCAATATTGGAGTATGTGAAATAATTCAAAATTTTTTATCCAATAATATGTTTAATGGAAATGTCATTTTCAGTATTATACTCCGCAAGGAATGCCAATCCGTAGTTTGGAGCAAAATGTGTGTGCAGTTTGTGGAAATGATTTACTAGTTAGCGAAAAAGAGGATGGTGTTATTGAAGATACATATAAATTATCGTGTCATCATGTGTTCCATGAGTTTTGTATACGAGGCTGGTGTATCATTGGAAAGAAGCAAACGTGCCCATATTGCAAGGAAAAGGTTGATTTAAAGCGTTTATTCTCAAATCCATGGGAGAAGCCACATGTAAATTCATTCAAGATTAATTCAATTGATTTACAAATCCATTCTAACCAATTCACATTTATTAGGTCTTATATGGGCAACTGCTTGACTGGATTCGCTGGCTTGTGGCATGGCAACCGGTAATTTTGGTTCTCGTTCAAGGAATCAACTGGATTTTGGGCTTAGAATAAGACTTTTGAAACCAGTTCAAAGTTCATAGAACAATTTTCAAGAATTCATATGTAAATCATATGCCAGTCATAGATTGTTTTCGATCGAAATTTTCATGTGTTTTATTTTGTTGTTTGTAACAAAACTCTTCTGTCTTTAATTTAGTACAAAAAAAATGAATAAAGTGAATGAGCCCATAGTATGTTTTTCTACAATATATTGAATAAAATATCTCGTTGTATGGATAAATTACCATTCTATCCAATATCGATATTCATTCGGATTTGTATGAACATTGACTAGGATTCAACCAAATATATCACAGCAAGAAAATTACATAGGACAGTTATTTGACATTTTATTCATATCGATATATGTTCAAATAAATTAACATTACAATTAATTTACAAATAAATGCTGACAATGTTTATCAGCTATGAAATTTTGAAATGCCAATCAAACTTACAAAAATTTCATTTTTTGTCAAAAAAGCTTCATTTGACATTTGGCAACAGCTGTCACTTTTGTCGTTCAGCATTATTTCACCATGCTTACACTGATTGCCATTACAATATTCGAATAGACTCCGGGAAAGTTTATATACTAAACTACCGAATATATTTTTGAATCAAAGATGCTATCAAGACGGATTTTAATTCAGGTTTGTTAAACCATTTCATACATATGACAAAATTTAACCTAATTTCATTTATAAAACTCCCTAGAATCGGTTAAATATAGTATTCACCATAAAAAGATGTGTGCCACTAGTAAAATATTGTACAAAAACCAATGAGAATGACGAAAATCGTCCAAAAACAATTACCGAAAAATTTGATGAAGCAATAAAAAAGATAGAAGGCTTACGGGCTGCAGCAAAAGCCACTAAAGGAGAAAAAAACAGGGCAAAAGCCACAAACGGAAAGAGTAAACTATTGAAACCGGTCGATGGATATACGCCACGATTCAAATACAATGGTTATGTGAAAAAATCTCAATGGATATACTTCGATGATGACCATAACGAGAAAGTGCCCGAAACTGAAGAACAGTTTAATTATGGCATGCGAAAAAAGCATAAATATTGTCTTCTATTGGCATTTGCCGGTGGAAATTATTATGGAATGCAATACAATGTATCAACACATACAATTGAAGATGAATTACTCAAATCAATGGTAAAAAATCGTTGGATTTTACAAGAGCACCTTGATAGACCACATTTATTTGATTTTCAACGTGGTTCAAGAACAGATCGTGGGGTTTCCGCGTGTCGTATGAATGTTTCGGCTGTTTTGCGTAAGTGGGCAAACTTCTTTTGACTATGTTTGTAATTTTATCCTGTGTTTTTCTTTAGCAATTGATGTGAGTATTGAAGATTTGAATCGTGATTTGCCATCGGATATTCGGGTATTTGGAATGAAACGTACAACACCAACATTCGATGCTCGGCATAATTGTACGGCTAGGACTTATTCATATACAATGCCAACGATTGCATTTTCACATTACAATGATCAAACTGAAATGAAAGACTATCGAATCACGGCCGATAGATTACTACGTGCCAACGAAATATTTGGAATGTTCAAAGGCTATACAAATTTTCACAATTATACAATGAAAAAGCAGTATTTCGATCGATCGTCATCACGACGCATTGAAGAGATTGGCTGTGGTGAACCATTCATTGAAGGTGACATTGAATTTATTCGAATGACGGTGAAGGGGCAAAGTTTTATGTTGCATCAAATTCGAAAAATGGTCGGTTTTACGCTGGCCGTAATCCGTGGTGTAGTAGGCGATGATATGTTAAAGAGGTCATTGACCAAAGAAGTGTTTCACACACCGACTGCTCCTGGTCTGGGTTTGATGCTTGAACGTTTACATTTCTCCAAATATGCACGCCTATTTAAAGATCATGATCCATTAACTTTCGACGAATTCGACAATGATGTTGAAGAGTTTCGTCGAAACTATATACATCCCTTCATTATTGAAACAGAAATTAAGGAAAATTCAATGGTAAATTGGCTTGAATATCTGTGTATACATAGCTTTAGTGCTGAATCACGAGAAAGAGAAGAAAACCGAAAAATGAGGAACGATCCAGAGTTCGACGATGAATGGGGTGAAGATCCTGAATTTTTAGAAAAATTAAAAAAACGCTTGGAAGAATAAATTTTATTGTAAATTTAATAATAAATGTAGTTGAAAAGCAAAAAGAAATGAATTAAATCTCAAATGAATTATTTAAAGGGTGCTGAATGGTTGTTTTTGAAGTAAAACTAACTTCACGTTAATTTATCACCATTTTTGATTTAGGCGATCGAAATTTGTGCCATTTTTTAGTTTCGCTGGCAACCGTACCATGGCACTACGGTCAACGTTGCTTGTCATCGTCGCGCTTTGCTTTTTCTTCTTCTTACGAAAAGGAACAAAAAAAAAACACATTTATTTTTTCACACAAAGCAATTTAATACAGAAATTTTCATTTGTTATTAACAGAATAGAAGAAAAAGTCGAGCAATTAAAATGCCGGAACGTAATCGTGGAAGTGGAAGTGATAGTGATACACCCAATACAGCAGCAAATATCAAATACACCATTTCACCTAGCATTGATTTAATAGCAAAGGACACTTCCGACTTGTGTGGACTTTTGTACAGTGAAGTCGCAGTATTTCTAATGTAAGCATTGAAAGAGAAAAGGACTTGACACTTGATTATATTGATACATCTTATTTTTTTTAGAGACTGTAATATGGATTCCGATCCCGATCAATTACATCTGTTAGAAAAAACATCAACAGAGCTGAGTGATATTATTTTGCCTTCATTAAGATTATCAAAGTAAGTTCAAAATAACATTTTGTTATAATTCAAGGAGCCAGGCTGAATTCAATTTCATTTCAGAGTTAAATTATCCAAAAAAAAAGGACGAAATGGAAGATCAACATGGCGATTGTTTGCGCAGTCCAAATCAATCCGTCAAGAGAAGAAAATCGGTTTATAAATCACCGGTTTCTAATATGGAGCCAACCATCCCAAATATAATGCGATCACTAACCAAATTCGTTGTATTGTTTGAATCAAAAGCAGAATATATAGCAACGTAAGTAAACTTAACATTTGTCTTCCAACAAAAGTATATGTGTGAATATTCTTTAGGCGAAGGTCATTACAAAACCTAGATATAGATAAACTGACTGAACTGGAAGACATGGCAGATCTTTTCATCAGAAGTTCGGAAAAAACACAGTAAGAATTTTTTACTATGAAATGATATTTTGCGACTAAACAATCACAATGAATTACAAATTTTCATTTGTTCCAGAGACATGCTAAAACAAATAATTGCAAGGATGAAGGCGGTTCTCCATTCTAATGCTGCCACTACTGCAACGCATCAACAATTACCTGCTTAATTTCGTTCCACCACGCGGTGACCAAACGCCATTGTCGTAAATCTCAACATTCATCGCAATACCAAAATCGCCCAATAAATTTATTTGCAATTCCATTTCATTCCATTTTTGTACGAAAAGATCTTATTCAAAATCTCTTGGCTATTTCAAATCGCTTGAAACTTCACCAGAACCTAAATTCTGGTCATAAATGATGATTACTCTTCATTTCGGACCGATATGATTGAGAAAAGATGTTTTTATATTTTCACAAAATCTAGTGTTCCAAGGGATAAATGAATCGTTGCGGCGAAACAGTGGCTCTTATTTTTCTCCAAATAATACTGCAACATGAAGTTTTTTTCACACGGTTTATTTGTTGTAATACAACAAATAAACCATTCATACTCTTTCACCGCAATGATTCAAATAAGGGATCCACCATGGAATCGATATAGCTCTTGCGCTACCTACTGGTGAGACGAAAACCAAAAATTACACCGGTATGTTGTTTCTGACGTCTTATAGACGCAAAAAAACTATTTGCCCAACAAATTCCGAAAAATGACCTAAAAAAACCACCCTACTTAAACATTGACCTTAATAAATGAATAAAATTCCAAAGATGGAAAATAATTGTTTTTTCAACAACAAGTTAGCTTTAGAAATTCAGTTTGAAATTGATTTTTTTCAAAAGAGTGAGGTTAATTTGACATTTACCATTCGTATGACACTCCAGTTAGTAAATAAATACTTCAAAACATTGTATATAGTGTGCAATGAACACAGTGCATAATAAATGCGTCAAATAAAAAAAAAACCTTTTGTTGTGTATTGTGTGCATTACGTGATTGATGTTGATTTTGTGGTGCTTAAGTAATTTATGAGTGATGAAAATAGGATTTATCTATACTTTTACCATATTGAAGGCAAAAATAGCATAATTTGGTACTGAACAGCTGATTTGATATTAATATTTTAATGATAATAACAACAAAGCATTTCAAAATATTGTGAAATCATAAATGACCAGTTTCAATCGTTTGGGCAACAACCGATGATCAAATAGTTAGATATAATTTCAAGCTAATTTATGGTTTACAAAATCATAACATAGCTAATGGTTTTCCGAAAAATTATGCATCCATCCATTCAATTATAATATTTGTGGACAGACTATAGCACTCATACATTCACAGTGACAGTTAACAGTTATAAATATCACTCAAGTCATTTTGTTTATTTCAGTCGTGAAGCTTTAGCGCTACACCGTGGTTCGTTTAATCAGTTTCTACAACAATTAATTTTATTTTGTTTTGCGGTATCAACGTATAACGTGTACGTATTCGTAAGATTTGTGATAACAAGCGTAATTTTGCAGTTTGCTACGCTCTAATCAAATTTAAATTAATTTTTTTCCCTCTCCTGCTGTTTTACCTCCAGTCAATCTCACACATTTTCACAATGAAGATGTTTGGTTTACGTTTGCCATTTACTCAACGTCAAGCGACAATGATTGTTTATCGGTCCATTTATTGCATTGACTGGCACACATTAATCTAAACGGTTAACGTTTTGAATTCCTGATGTTAACTGGGTCTAAACAGATGTTTAACTACTCTGCGTGCGAGACGATCACATTGGATTTCCCAACAAATGTTCAAAGTAAATGAGCATTTCAACAAAATTTGAATGAATTGCAAACATTCTGTAATACACCACATCCAACATCAAAGCAGTTCGATGCACTGGAAGAAACAGACAAATTGCAAGCTTTTCGTGATTTTTTGAAGGTAAAAAAATGAATTACATATACCGTTCGATGACTTTATGATTCAAATGTTTGATTTCAGAGAATTCCAGAGAAAGATTATCTTGTCCATTTAGTCTTTGCCATCATCAAGTTATCGGCCACTTCATTGAAAAACCAAGAGGCTTTGAGTGTGGTCACTGAATTGTACAAAGATTGCTATGAATATGCTCAAAAAACAAGCCAGGTAAATATCGCATTTGTAATAAGTATTAAAGTCAAATGCATGCTAAATTGTTTAGTCATTAAAGATAATCCTTTTCCGCTGTTTAGTTACAATTTGTTTATTATTGTGTTTTTTTCACACTAATTCTAGGTGGCTCGTGTAAATAATTTTTTCCTAATGCAATTGGGTTTGTTGAAGAACGAAGACAAATCATTTAAGCCAGCCTATGACCAGAACGCTTGCCGAAATGCATTGCAACATTCAATCAAATCGAAAGTGTTCAACGATGACGTGGGAGAAATGTTCAGCCTATTTTTGCAACATTTTAATTAAAACAAAGCATACACATTAATTTATAAATTTTATTTCATAATTTTCCAATGAATAAACTCGAACAATTTGTCAGATAATATGACATTTTTTCATACAAAATAAATTTTTTCGCTCCTGTACTGCCCTTTTAATTTACAAACAAGCAACAAAAAATAATTAAAATAGAATTGAGGGGAGGGATTTTAGGAACAATTACTTGAACGTGTTTTCAGAAATGCAGCGATAATATATTTTCTTCACTAAGGGAAGAATTCGCAACTAAAACGCTCGTAAAATAGCCGAAATATGGACACAATGGCGTATATTGCAATAATAAATTCACTCGTTCAAATCTTCTATTGAACAGTTACTGGTAATGTTGAAAAGCTGTCAAGATTTCACGCATCAAAAAGCTCGAAAGTCTTATCCTTTTCAAGTGATACTGCTATGTTTTATGAAATTTAAAGAAATTTCTCTTGTAAACGAGGAAATATTAAAAAAATTTGACCAAAAATATGTATCCGACTATCCGTCAAGAAAGATGTTTTTGGCGCTGACAACCAAATTTCATATTTACTCATGTGAAAAGGTATAAATACGTCACACTAATCAATAAACTCAAAAATTTCGTTAGATGATAATTGTTGCATGGAAAATGACTTTTTTATTGATGCACTAATTATTCATTTTTATTACAAGCATTCTAACCCTGGTTTCATCATATTTTTCAAATCCAAAAAGTACATATAAAAATAATACGTGGATGATATTTGTATTTGTTTATCGCTAACGACAAAAGTGTTGAAGCTTATGAGTTTTATGATTTGTTTGAAGTGTATGGAGAGAGACTTGATGTGTGCTGGCAAAGTAGTTTTTCGTTGGTTTTTTCTCTTCTTTTACTTTTCGTCATTACTTTTATTTTTTCCGTTTTGTTTTCAATTCACTTTGATAATGTCTGAACAGAGAACACGACACATTTCCTTTGCGCGCGCGATAAACATGGCATTTGATTTCTGTGTTTCTTTATTCTCGTCTCGTATTTTTGTTCCTTTTTCTCAAAGCACGACGACAATGACAGCTGGGCAACGCAGCAACTTCATTATGGTTGTCACTGTTTATGTTGGGTTACACAAATTTGTAGACAAATTGACATTTGTTGTAAACACACACGTGTGTATTGTGTCAGTCACACAGAATCAGTGTGTCAGTTTACACTTTTTTTTAATATTACTATTTTTTCTCTTGTGAAAAAAAATTCTTTCTTTTGAAAAAAAAATGAGCGAATCAGCGGTTACCCCATCGAATGGGGCAAAAGACGAAGTTGATGACTCAAAAACCGAAGAAGTGATCAAACCGAATTCCGAACAATCCAACGATAATAAGCCGACACAAATGAAAAAAACCAAGTACGACGGTCGAAGTAAAAAGCGCGCTTGGGTTTTCAATCGACGTGATGATGATGCAAAGCGTGTACGAACCAATCCCGAAGATCGTGTCAAGAGACGAAAGTATCTAATGGTAATGGGGTACTATTCTATAGTGAACATTTTGTTTTTTTTTCTCTTTCACAGAAATCGACGATTACAACTACCAAATATCAATTTAAAGCAATTGCTGGACATTAATGTTGTTGTGGCTATTGCTTTGCAATTTTTTCATTATATGTTTCCGATTATTTTCCGATTACTTATCGATTATTTTAAATTTTATTCTTTTCTTTTGTGATTCTCCCCTTAGGTAATGGGATATGCAGGCTCGAATTATATTGGAATGCAACGGAATCCCGATGTAAACACCATTGAGGAAGAACTATTGAAGGCGCTGTTCAAAAACAATCTCATCACAGAAGATGCATTTCAACAGCCACAATATTCACATTTTCAACGGGCTGCGCGCACCGACAAAGGAGTGTCGGCTTCACGGCAATGTGTTTCATTGAAATTGCGTAAGTAGATCACAATCAATAGACCCAAATCTGAATGTTAAAGTAATTTTTTTTGTTTCTATTACCGCTTTGTAGCGGACCAAATTGATTTGGATGCATTGAACAAGGATTTGCCATCGGACATAAAGGTTTTTGGCGTGAAACGTGTAACAAAGGGATTCAATTGCAAAGATCAATGTAATGCAAGAACATATTCATATACACTTCCATCCATTTCGTTTGCACCACATGATCAATCGGTTGATATGAAAACGTATCGATTGGACGATGCAATTTTAACCAGAGTCAATGAAACGCTCGCATTATTCGAAGGTACAAAGAATTTCCATAACTTTACGTCACGAAAAAAGTACGAAGATCCATCGGCGCGACGATTTATTATTAGTTTCAAGTGTAAGCCACCATTTATGGTGGATGATGTGGAATTTTGTAAAATAATTGTAAAAGGTCAGAGTTTTATGATGCATCAAATACGAAAAATGATTGGATTAACATTGGGTGTTGTACGAGGGATTGCAAATATTGACACAATCGAAAAATCATTCGAAAAGACACGAATCGTATGTACTTTTCACTATTCCGTTTACAACAATAAATTTATTCTTGAAATCGTTTATTTTTCAGGACATCCCAATGGCTCCTGGATTGGGTCTGGTTTTAGAAGAAGTGCATTACGATGGATATAATGCACGTTTCAAAGACGATGGACTACACGAACAACTTGAATGGAGCGATTTTGAGCCGGCGATCATAGAATTTCGTGACAATTTTATTCATTCGGTCATTAAGGAAACGGAGTTAAAAGAACAACCCATGTTAACTTGGTTAAAAACATTACCGTTGCATACATATGAGGAAAGACCGGAAGACACACTAAAAAGTGAACAGGTCGATTCTGGAAGTGATGGCAAGGAAACGACAACCACCACTGAAATTATTGATTCAATTGCTGAAGATGATGAAAGATAAACTTTAGATTTATTCATTTCAAAACATTTATTTCAAGAGAATTAAAGATATATATTTTGTTGAATAAAAAAAAAAGAATTTTAATCAATTGTTATTCTACGTTGATTGTTCTTCTTCTGTAGATTCAATTGCATTGATAGCCATTTGTAGGACAGCATTTCGGGTTTTTGCTCCTCCAATGAAGCCAGTGGCATGCACAAATTTGGTATCAGCAATATTTGAAACGGATTCAAGATCAGCATCACGAATACCACGCCATGATGGCGGTAAAAATTTTCGACAAACAAAACTGCTGGCGGTCTTTGAAACACAAATCACACGATGATCGTCTGGTGCTGATGCACAAATACAGTACAAAATGTCACCTTCACACTTTTCAACCTTTTCCAAATCGTAGAGGTGCTGTTTCCACGGGCAGAATTGAGCAAGCTCGATGATTTTACCTACGGGGAAAATCACAAAAAAATAATAATCAAAATAATCAACACGATGACGTTGAATTTACCCGATGAATGTAGATCAAATCGGCTTTTAATGGCACCGGTAACAATCGCTCTAGCGGGCCACCATACAGTTGAATAGTACAAAACGGAATCGACAAATTCGGCGCCAACCAATTCTTTGGCCTTTTCAAATTGGGCTTGTTCATCAAAATCTCCGGTTGAATTCCATTCTGAGTTGAAATGACCAACACGAGCACTCAAATGTGTAGAAATTCGATAAACTGGCTCATCTGGATGTTGCGGTACACCATTATCAATGCCATCGATTTCTTGAATGAAGTTCTCATACACCTTTTCAAACACGCGTCTCAAGCACTCTTGGCTCAGCTCAATACCTTTCAGACGTTTAACCAAACGGCCAATGACCTCTTCACCGTAATGCGTATAAATCAGTCCAGCCGAACTTAAACGAACTTTTGAGAATTTCTCCGCAAATTCTGGACGCAATGAACCCAAAGTATCTTGGAATGTTTTTTGATGATGATCGAAACGCAATTTTTCCGCATCAAATACACTTCCAACATCAACAACAATATCACAATCTTTCAAAACAGCATCGTCCCGTGTACGGACGATTTGTGCCTTTTCATATTTTGGTAATTGTTGCAATATATAGCAAGCGAGTATTTCATCACAGTGAAATATACCGCTGTGTGTTCCAATCAATACATTGCTCTTTTCATTGGACATTTTGCGAATCTGTTGATTGAACGTTAAAGATAAACCACTGAATTTCGTTAATTTTATATGACCACCAGATGAACACTTATTTCTGCTAATGATACTGTGTACGAATAGTCGTCGAAACATCATTATTTAGCGGGTAAAATGAGGTTAGACAAATTACCACTTTGTCACTTTTTTGACAAATTCAAATTTGACATTTCAATTGACATCAACATACGAACAATTTTCAGTCCATAACACTTCTCGTTCAATTCCAAAAGGCGAAAAAACAATGATGACCTTAAATAAAGTTTTTCGTTTGAATAATCGAATCCCATTGATTAGCCAACGAATTCAATCAATTTCCACCACATCTGCACTGGGAGTCAAGGAAAGTGAGTTTAATTACCGCTGTTTTTGAGGTGCTTTGATTTTGAGGTTAAAACTTTTACTCTTTTGTTATTTATTTTAGTCAAAGTTGAGCAGAAAAGTAAAGTTTTGGAAATATCTGCCGATCTTAAGCCATCGCCACGTGAGGCAACTCTTTTGAAGGAAGTTCATTCAACGGATAAGAAATTCTGTCCCAAATGCACGCTCGGTTTGGACATTAAGCACACAGACGTATTAATCTTGAAGCAATATCTACGTGAGGATGGAACAATGATGCCTAGACGCATTACCCGCCTCTGTGCAATACAACAAAAGAACATTGGAACGATGGTGTTGATGGCTAGAAGAGCAGGTTTGTTTTTATTACCAATTTGGTTTTGCATACACAAACATTCAAAGTTTTTTTTTCTTTTTTGATAACAGGTTTGTTACCATTACCTGCACAATTGGCTAGCAAGAAACCAAACAAGTGCTATGGATATAAGGGACTCAACCATTACTATGACGAACAAACAATTAAATATGCAAAATTATATGTCAACACTGATGAAAACAAAAAAGTTGGCCCCAAAAGAAAAGTTGACTTTAATTTTGATCGAATTTAAAGAAAACCCGTTGTTAAACAATTTATTTACAATCATTTTATGGATAGAATAAAATATTCAATAGATTTTGATCCATAATATTTGAGAATTAAACAAAAGTATGACTTTTCTTTTCTTTGTAGAAACATATTTTTATTTGAACAATTTTTCAGCCTGAATGATGTCTTTTCTCAAAACATCTACAGTTCAATATATATCCGAAAATTTCACAAACATTCTTGGAATTCGATATCTGTTACAATAATAAGACACCATATTTTGTCGAACAGTAATTCATTTATTCTCAATTTTGAAAATATACTTAACAATAATGTCATAATACAGTTTTTGTATGTTTTTGTTCATGAGAATCTCGAGAATATTTGGTTGTGTATTCTTTTTTGCAATGACTACATTTAAATAGACCTTCTCTTGAATGTAGTTTTTTGTGTCGTTTTAAATTGCGTTTGCTGGTGAATCGGTTTTTACAAATATCACAAATGTATTTTTGAGTTGTATGAACGTTCATATGTTGCACCAAATGCGCTTGTATTTTAAACTCTTTGCGGCATATATTGCATGAATATGCAGTTTTGGGGATATGTTTGACGAAATGTGTTTTCAAATCATGATTTGTGGTACTAGTAAATTTACACAAATAACATTCAAAATGTCCATGAGCGGCGATACCTAGGTATGATCAGACCAAAAGAATGGAAAAAATGGAAATTAATCAAACAGAATGGAAAAAGAATCGAAGGAACGGATCAGGAATTGTAATGGAATAGTAAAAGTATACCTTGGGCGATACTTTTCTCTTCATCTTTAGATCGGTCAAGTCGACAGGACGTATTGTGCCGACGTAAATTATTTTGTGTAGCGAAATTCCTCCGACAAACTTCACATTTGAATGGCTTGGATCCGCTGTGCGACCGTTGATGAATGTCCAAAGAAAATTTGACAGGGAAGCGTTTGAAGCAAATGTTGCATTGGAATGTTTTAACACCATGGAATCGATCGTGATGACGCTTTAAATTGCTTACTGAACTGATTGATGTTCGGCACATATAGCATTCATAGGTTAGTTTGAGAGATTTATTTTCCTTTCCGTTTCGATGTTTATTCTTTCTAACGCAATGCTTTTTTTGTGTTGGTTTCTCTTGCGATGTTTTTTTACATTTACTTTTTACTGTGCATTTCTGTGATTTCTTTCTTGTTTCATCGTTGCTTTCGACTTTTTGGAATCTGGTTTCTTCTTTCACAATTTCATCTGGACCAGCTTCTTCTTTTACGATTTTCACCCTTGATGGCTTTTCGTTCCGATGTGTTGAACATTCTGATGAAAATAGATCACTAATTTCTTCATCTTTCACTTTGATATCCGTGTTTGGCTCCGTTTTAATGCATTTTAGATAACAAATCTCCGCATCTGCATAGTCCATTTCAATATTTACGAAATATATAATACTGTGACCAAATATGTAATACGCAATAGCGGTGAACCTTCAAATCACTTAAATTGAAAAGTACTTTTTTTATAACAAACTTCGCAGTTTAAAATTTTGTTTGCATCTTTCGTTATATACGTTGTGTTGTGGTGACATTTCTTTTCTTTCATATGTCAAGTACAATTTTATTTATATTAAGCCTCGTTCAAGTGTCGCATGCTCTATAATTTGAATTTGAATAAGGCATAGAAACGAATATTGTAGAAAATATGACAAAATAACTTAAAAATTCCATTATAACACCATCTGCGAGATATATTACAAAAATAATACACGTTATCGGTAAGTATTTTTAAGTAATTCATTTTAACCCAATCCATGTAAAAAGAAGAGAGAAATAAATTATGAAAAGAAAAAAAAATACGGAAAAACAAAGAATGTCATGAAATGGCAAGATTGAATAAAAATTTCGCTTTATTTTTATTTATACTTGAGATATTAATACACTTTGCCACATGAGGATTGAGGAAGGTATTATGTTTACAAATTTTGTATATCATCGTATAAACATTTGTGAATAGTTTCTAAACCTTTTGATTTGATAAACATACGATGAAAGGTCAATAATGGTCAGTGGAATGTTGCTTAGATGAATTATTTGGATACATTTCTTAAAGCGTCAATTGATGTAATAAAATTTTTGTGTGAACCATAAACAATTCATATGAAAATAAGACTCAATCATAAAAACAATGCAAATAACATTAGGCTTGCAACGGCCTCTTTTTCATCAAACATATTGTGATTTACATATTTCCAATTAGTAATGGTTTCTATTTGAACAAGTGCACAAAGTGACTAAATATGGTTTAACTGAAATGCGACATAAACATTCATGACGGTTATTCGGTTCATTGCCACGATGATCTCTGCTCCCCTCACAAAATATTTTCGGTTCACTTCTTCGTTGTTCTTCTAATAATTATCGATTCAATTGAAATAGAGATAAATACACAAAAAAATAGTGGAAAGAGTGTGCAAGCAATTGCGATATTCAAAGGCAACAGTGAGAGAGCGTTACTCGCGTCATATTCATTCAATCCATTTGCGTTATTATCGCTGACCACCAACTGTGGTGTATCGTGCTTTGCAAGTAGTTATCATAGCGCTTTTATAGCGACGATCATCACTTTCCTCCTGGACACTGGACCGCGAACATCGCGAGCAAAGACGAAAAAAATTATAATCACAAGTGATTTAGTGATTATTTACTATTCAGAACTTCTGAATCAGAAGACGAGTGAAATTCATAATCAGTGATTTTATTTTTATTATTAGTGTACGATAAATTGTGATCTCTTTTGAAGAAGAACAAATTTGTGACTCAAATGTGATTTGTTATTAATCGTCATTTAGGATTTTTAATTTGTTCAGCTAATTAGCCAATTTTATAATGAAAACGTAAGTTCTTTGTGATGAAGAAGAATTTGTGTCATTGATCCATTAAGAAACGTGCTTTATAAAAATACTTATTATATAATCGTTTGAATTTGATGCCGTTGATCATGTCGCGATGTGCTAAAAATCAAGTTTCGCATGAAATAAAAAAAAAACTAACGAACCGAATAGCACCTTACCTTTCACTTTAACAAAGCCAAACATATTTATGTTGAGAATAGCATACAGGTAACAAATCGCATACATTCAACAATATAGCTTAGTATTGTTGGGTTTGTCGATGTACTAAGCACGTAAAATGAATTTTAATTTTTACTGAACTCGGAACTAAAACATTCCAGCAAGTTATAATAATTAGTGAGTTTTAATTGAAAATTTGTGGTTTTGCAAATAACGAAAATTGTTTGTATTTTACTTCAATAAACCAATATAATCAACGAACGATGATTTATTGGTAAGTTTCGTTTGCGTGGAATATATTCAAGCATATTTTCTGCCTATTTTTTGTATTGTATTCTTCTCTTACAAAATCAACTGTTGACGCTTACCAGAGTAAAAAAATTTCTAATGCAAATAGTTTCACAAATTTCTCAACAATTGTGAATTCACCGAGAAATGGTGGGATCAATGTTTAAACGGTTGAGTTTTTTGTAAACAAGTTGTTTTTCGAATTTCGCCAAATTAAAATTATATGTAAAAATTATATTCAATTATAGATATTAGAGTTGGCCTAATTTCCATCGAAGGTCAATTCAGAATTTAACAGACAATATATTGAACTAACTGGTCATTTGAGCTGACAGTACGTTAGCCAGCTAAATGGACTAAAACAATACAAGTTATTGTTTTAATGAACAATCACTGCTATTAAAACAAGAAAAGTGATTCATCATTAAAACAATAACGTCTATTGTTTTAGCCCATTTAGCTGGCTAACGTACTGTCAGCTCAACTGACCAGTTAGTTAAATATATTGTCTGGAATTTAAACTATATTTAATAAATATAAACGAGATCAACTGCAATTATTCTCATTAAATGATTTGCAAATTGTAGTGGCCGATCAGAATTAAATTCAATTACAGTGGATTTGTTTTTTGTCGATCATTGAAAAGTTTCCGCTGCGAGATAATATTTGATGGACAATAGGTGAAAAACAAACTATGAAGTATGTTTTTACGGAATACATTGGTGTTTGAATTTGAATTTCTAAACATGTCATATATCTATTGAAGTAAATAAAATGTGATTTGAATTTACAATATATATTTAACAATGAAAAAAAGACGATCGCATGTGCCGCTAAACGATTGAATTGGCAAAGTGCGCAGGCAAGCGATAAATAGCCGCTGTGTAAAGTCGAGCAAGTGCTAAAAGATGCTAATAGATAACCTAATAAATGCAAATTCATGATGATAGACGGTGTGTCTAATTTTATCGCTTCTTGGATTCAATATTGAATGAGCTTGGATTTAAATTGGATAAGCGTGCGAGGTGACAATATTCATATATTCCAATTATACAATCAGTGAAATTATAACTCATAAATGCCTCGTTATTCAAAAATTAAAGATAAAAAAAAATGTATGGCTACATGAGAAAAACAATAAAAAAGAGATGACGGCAAATATTGACATTTAGAATCAATTGAAGAATTTTGTACTTTTTCATCAAAAGCCATCTTGTTTAATATGTAAATGAGGTGTACAACGAACGTGTCTTTGCTGCACATGTCACACTTAACAATAAGACTTTAGTAGTTATTTCATTCAAAAAATGAATTGTTGAGATACATTGCACCTGATATGCAATCAACCGGTCACAATTAACACCGGCTTTGTTTTCATCTAATCATTACGATCTACCCACATTTACAATTACTAATTACTGTGTATTCATTATTTTTTTTTCTCTGTGCTATTTCATGGCGTGCAGTCTATCGGCTGACAATAAAGAGCTTGGAGTGTTCAGACGTGCCCTACCGCAATTTTTAGCTGTTGGTTGCAAAAATCTCGTGCTACTCGGTAAGCAAACACACCAAAACCGGTTTTCTTTAAAGCAATGAAAGTGAGATTTGATTTATTACACTTAAAATTAACGTTTCAAATTGTTTACTTGAAACATTTGAAATAATCGTTTAGGGTATGGTCTTAGTCTGGGCTTTCCGACTATAATAATACCAGCCATCCAAGGTGGCGATGCACGTGACAGTAGCAAAGGCGAATTTCTACTTACAAAAAATCAAATCTCATGGCTAAGTAAGTATAGTGTCGAATTTACAAATAATAAAATGCAAATAAATGCCAATACAATGTGCAATTTTTATCATTCAAATAAATCATGATTTCTACTAGAGAGTTTCGCGGACCGGATTTTAAATGGGTTAGATTTATTATCCGGATTATAAATTTACATTAGGCTTCATTTCACAAACTATGAAAAATTCCACAAAAAAATATTCAAATGAAACTAGGCATGTTTACGAAGAAATTTTCCAAATTTTCGATGTATTTGTTAAATGATTGATTTAGCAATATTTCATCTTCATAATATTTTAATTTGAACATTTTTCTGGTTGTGAAATCGATCTGACAGTTTAGTGAAGAATTCCGATTTTAATTTTCGAATTTTTTGTTCGGTAGTAATTTTTGTGTAAAAAATTTAGTTGCATTTAGAAGTATTTTGCTTGGAAATGGGCAAATCGAAACAGTTTATATCCGTGAATAACTACATATGAATAATAATCGATGGTCAATGTCAAATTGTTAATATCCATACTTGAATGCATCATTGCAAATACGCACCTTCGGAGCGCAAAAAACAAGCAATGAAATTAAACGTTAATTGTTTTTTTTTCTTTTTTCAATAGGTTCAATAAACTTGCTATGTGTTCCGCTAGGCTGCTTTTTGTCGGGCATGTTCACCGAACCAACTGGAAAACGACGTGCGATGCAGGTATTTTTATCATTTGTTTTTAAGCATATCACCGTTAAATGTAAACTTGAAAATTTTCAATTGTAGTTGGTGAATTTGCCAATGATTGTATCGTGGATGCTGTTTTATATGTCGACTAGTGTTACTTACTTGTATGCGGGATTGTGCCTGTCTGGCCTCAGTGGTGGTTTAATGGAGGCACCGGTTAGTAGTTTCTCTCATCATGTACATATCAAAAAAGAGAGATTATTCATAATTTTATCAATTTTCTTAATTCCATAGGTTTTAACGTACGTTGCAGAGGTTACACAGCCACAATTTAGAGGCATGCTTGCAGCGACTGGCACAACATGCGTCATTACAGGCATACTTATCCAATTCATATTAGGAACATTTTTTTCATGGCGTACGGTGGCTTTCATTTCGGGTTTTTTGCCATTGTTTACAATAATTGCGTTATGTTTCGTGCCAGAATCGCCATATTGGCTATTGACTAAAGGATATACAGAAGAAGCCAAAACATCACTTTGCTGGCTTAGAGGTTGGGTGCCGTTTTCTCAAGTTGAAACCGAATTTAATGAAATCCATGCGGTCTTAGAGGCCAAACGCCATGAAGCTGAATCCTATCGTCAATTACCTTACTATAAGCGCTTTGAACCATTCACAAAACGTGGTTTCATCGCTCCATTCATTCTAGTCTCGACAACATTTTTTGTCGGCCATTTCTCTGGAATCACACCGCTGCAGACATATGCTGTTCAGGTAATGTTTCTTCAATGTACAATTGTACATTTTATCTTATTGCGATTTCTAATTTTTATAGATTTTCAATACGTTGAAAGCTCCAATCGATAAGTATTATGCGACAATTTTGCTTGGAGGCGCAGAGCTAGTTGGGGCATTTGGTTGTGTTGTATTAGTTCATATAACTGGAAAACGGTCGTTGGTATTTTCATCGCTTATCGGAACCGGAGTTTGTTTCTTCGCAACAGCGACATATGCACATTTTCTTCATACCGTACCCGGTGTTTCGGTGGATAATGTTGTTGCCAACTATTCCAGGCAAGACATGGATCGATCCAGCTACATTAATGAACGTAACTTAACAGAAGTATTCAATAACTTGACAAATTTTGAAAACTCCATTCTGGTTGAAACAACAACTGATTTTATGAGCACAACCGAAGCCTTTCAATCGTCAACAATTCGTCCAAAACGAATGAACGTACTGAATTCCACGGAAGGAAATAAAATAAATACAATGAATGACATTATTTTAACAATTCCAAATGCCGAAGAAAATAAATACTTATGGGTGCCGTTGACGCTACTCATTACCGGTGCTGTTCTCAGTCACTTAGGTGAGATTATCCTTTTTTTTTCTTCACACCTTTCGAACAAAACTGATTATATATGTTATTTTGCAATATTCAGGAATTCGTGTGATACCATGGATGTTGATTGGTGAAGTTTATCCAGTCAATGTTCGTAGCGCCTCGTCTGGGCTTTCAGGTGGTATTGGCTATATCTTTGCATTCCTATCGAATAAGTTATTTTTACAAATGGTGTCTACTCTAACTCTGTCCGGAACGTTTTGGTTTTATTCGGCTGTCGCTTTTATTGGATGCATCATCCTCTACTTTACACTACCAGAAACAGAAAATCGATCTCTTTTAGAAATCGAAGAACACTTTTTAGGCAAAAAATCACTGTCCGATAAAAAGTCAACAAACGGCGAATACCAAAATAGAATGATTAACACTAACAGAATGAATGGCGTTGATGTAGTAACAGTTGCACCACCAACGATAAACAAAACGCAACCGTCGCAAATGAATGGTAGTGATAATGAAAATAGCAATGAGCTTCGGCTTAGTGTTCCAGAAATACGGATTTCATCAGAAAGGCAACCCGGTGTCGGTTCAAAGAGATACAAACATCGAGTTAGCGATACAATTCGCTCAAGAAATTCAATAGCCTCAAATGATGATGTGCAAGACACACGATTGTAACTTTAACACAAGAAAGAAAAACACTTTAATTTTACGACTGTAAAATGGATTTTTTAGAGTATTTTGGAATTTTACCGAAATTTGAGTGCTATATAGAAGAATCGTGCAAATTAGTTTTAAGAGATTTGAATAAAAATATACGTGTATATTTGTTGTACGTTTTTGTTCTCTGCAAAGTAGTGAGTTCAATGGAAAAATGTGAATAAGAAAAAGAACATCGTGGTATGTTTTACCAATTTTCTGAATTTTATTGTATTTAATGAACAAAAAACTCGTTGTTTTATTTCAAAAATGGAATATTATAATAATCGATAAAAGTGTAAGTAATAACCATACTTGTAATTGGTTATTATAACCAAACACAGACTTAACCTTTAATGATAGAAATTCATCTATTTTTAAATGATAATCGTTTGGATATGACGATTCGTCATATCATTCGTCATTGACGAAGAATAACGAAATTTAAATTGTAACATTACAATTTGAGATTATTCATTTCGTGTACGGTTGATGAAGTTCAACAGTTCTGTCTTTGAAATAAAGATGCGATCATCGCTCGTTGGTGAGCGTTTGATGTGAACACCACGCTGGCTCATTTCGTAATTATGAATGACACGATCGTTGCGGGCCGCTTTAGCAATGGAAAGCATTTCCGAATAATATCGTGTGGTGTGCGAGATAATCTTGATAGGCTTGGACCATTGATTTGGTTGCAGATCGAAAATATCACCCGAAAAGACCGTGTGCTTTTGAGCAGCGTATCGAATATCCTCCTTCAATTGATAGCTTTTCAAGCAGACAATCGTATCGTCTGGCCCCTCGCGGAAATCGTGTGCTGTGTCACGTCCATCACGAGTACGTCGATAAATTTCTTGTATATCATCTGTTGATATGTTCACCTTGAGCTTATCGCACAATTTCAAAAACATTTGTCGCAAATCCATGTTTGTCATTCGTGGTAATTTCAGTATTACCAAATTGTTGGCCAGTTCATTTTGTTTATCCAGCTCGGTCGCTAGAAAATCGGACTCTTCTGGTGCAATTGGCGAAAATTTGACACTATCTTCTTTGGGCGATTCAGCACTTGTTGTGCCTTTTATCAGCAATAATGCTTTGATTTTCGTTAATTCCACCAAACTATCGATGAACACATCAAACAATTTGCTACCAATGAAGTAAAATAAATCAATATCATTATTTGACAGTTAGTAATGACACAAATTATTATAATTAGTTAAATTACCTGTCATCGAGTTTGGTGTTTGCTAAATTGTAATTATGAAGCACCAAACCGTTGGGAAAAATAATTTTCGAGTTGTTGAAATGGGTTTTTATCCAGTTCGGAAACTGGGAGCAATGGTATTCCAACGTATCTCTTTCATGCATATTTTTATCATGCAACACAAGATTTGCCAGATCTTTCGATTCATATGTACATTTCCAACACTTGAATACGTACGGATGTGACTTGACATGGCCGAAATATTCATCACGAATAACTTTCATTTGACAATATCCACAAATTAAGTAGATATTTTGGTGGTCGGTATGTTGTTTGGAAATCTTCTTCTTGTGTTCATGTTCGATTAAATGATGTGCGTCAAGCTCATCCTCTGTGTCAAGTACCATTTCACAGTGTCCACACTGACGTTTCTTGTACTTGTGTACGTCGATTTTCATCAATTTATCAAGCGTATCATCAGAAAACTGCATTGGATTGAACATGTCACTCTGCATGATTGCTTTGTGCTCACTTTCAAAGTGATAGGTCAGTGCATCGGTCGATTTCAAGCAAATGCCACACTTCTTACGATCATTGTAGCGAACGAATGCAAGCACTTCATTCGAATGCAATTTTTGTTGATGTTTTACCAATTCGCGATAGGTACCAATAGCGTCACCACATTGACATGCTGAAAATAGAAAATGATGTGATAACGTTCAATCTAAAATTAAAAATATAATCACAAATGCTTCATTCCAAATACACACCTGCAATTTCAGCCATACAGAATTGGAATGGTTTCGACGGCGTTGAACCGATGTGCGATGTCTGCCAATGTTTGTAAACATCTTCAATACTACCGCCAGTTAGTTCTTCCGATGCATTTGTATCTATGCAATGCGCGCAATAAAACAAACATGTAGAATTCTCTTGCTTTGTATCAGCTCTAGCCACTGGATGGAAATAAAATAAATCAATATCGCTTATTGGCATGATAACAGTTACATAATCCAAAGGGAACCGGGAAATTACCTATTTTGTCCGTGTCCAACACCTCGCATGAATCTGTCACATCGATAACTTTGCGGCGTTTACTGTCATCAAAATTTTTCTCTTCTTTTTCACGCTTTCGTCGTGACGGACTATACTTCTCTGCACATGCTTTGCTTGTAACATTTTCAATTGAACTATATTTCGTTGATTTTTGTTGTTTTGAACATTTTCTTTCAGCCTCAATGCTAAATCTTTCCGCTGATTTTTCTTTGCGTGATTTCTTCTGCTTGGATTCGTCCCAATATCGTTCGCATGTATCAATCACACTGTCAACGTGTGCAATACAAATGAAAATATGTTTGATTGTGAAAATAAAAATTGTGTCTACTTTGAAAAACCTACCAATCGGTTGTTTGTTTGATAAAATCTCGACGAAATTTTCGATCGATTTTTATGCCCGTTTCTTCAAATCTTTGCAATGCAGCACGAATGTCCCATTTGGTATTCGATAGATGCTCATCCATTTTGGCTTGCATAATTTTGTCATCCATTTTGCTCTGTGATCAAACGTGTTCATATAAATGCGAAACATTTAACTTAGCAATCGACAAACAATGTGACATTTTTTGAACAAATATATATATAAGCATCGTTTACAGTGCATAAAATATGTTTTCCAGACACACTTTTCAGTCGCTATTGTGATTGGGACGAATTACTTTATTCATCGCTAAAACACTTACTTGATTTTTATTCAGATGTTCGGCTATTTATTGTGACGATTCAATACAATTCAATCATTCGAAGAGAAATTTTATTAAAATTATCTTGTAGATAATTACATAAAAACAATTTCAACAATTTTTTATTTGAAATACAAACCGAATGCACGCTTTCAAAAAAAAACTTGGGCAACCGAAAATGGTACGCTGTCACTGTAAGAATTTTAGTACACAAATACATTAAACACAAGTATTGTGCTATTTTTCTCAACAGCAAATTAACATGCAAAGTGTAGTGGTTAAGACAACAGAATGGTGTCGCTATCGAAGTGAAGAAGAAAGGGATAAAAGAATCACTGTAGTTGATTGCGCGTGTATATGTGGCAATTTCAATGCATATTGCGCTGTGACCGTAGAGAACCCATTTATTTCCAAAGCAAATAAACATGATTTTTTTCTCACTTAAAATCTCTCGATACAGTGAACATCGATATTGATGTCAATACACTTGTATGCATACTTACCCAACAGCTAAATCCGAAAGATATTGATAATGAACATTAAACGCTATGCTATGAACTAAATAACACTAACACGAAAATTTTTGTTGTTTAAACAACTTGTTTTAGTGGAATTTATTGAAATGACATTTTAAATTATAAGAAAAACCAATTATTTTATTCAAGTGTGATATTCCGGCTCATACTTGATGGAAAATTATAAATCGATGTGTCGTCAATAAGATCCGAAATGTAAATATTGTTCACACGATATGCGTCAAGAATTCGACTCTTTACATGTTTATACTTGAATTCAATTTGGATTACATGGCGTTCGTTCCGTCGGATTTTTACAAGGTCCTTTTGGTTAATGTTTATACCAAATACACGGAGTAATTTGCCGAGAATTTTCAGTAAGTTTTCGCCTTGAATGTATGGCACACCGTCTATGTTCAGAACATATTTTAATCTTTTTACTTTTTCAAATTCATTTAGTAAAATGTTAAGCCGCTTGTCAAAGACTTCAATAAAATCTTCAAATACATCATTGTAGGGTGTGTTACATAAATTTTGATTACGTGTGATTAGGCCGGTTTCAAATTTAACTAACACGTCGAGAAATTCGCGTTCTATCATCTGTTTGTAGCGTGGTATGTAGTTTTTGAGATGCTCGCCCTCGTGGGACTCTCTGATGTGCATCCACAATCGGAAAATATCTTGTGATGAAAATTGACCACAATAGGTACACTTATTGGCTTTGTGCTGTTGGATATGCTCCAAAATATCTTCCACCATTTTGAAGCTTTTACCATCGCAAATAAATTCATATTGTGCTGCATAGTCCTTTGTCAGATTTTTGAGAGTATGTTGTGACATATATGAATTTGGTGAATCGATCTCTTTGTGTTCTTTCTTGAAGTGCACATCCAATGCACCGGTGTATTCACCTAAGTCAAAATATATAAAAATTACTGTTAACAAACAATAAAGAACAAAAACAATCGTCATACTTACAAAATCCACATTTTTTCCGATCATTTTTTTCAGAAACAGCAAACACATCATTTGGATGAGTTATGGCATGGTGCCTTTTGAGATTTTGCCATGTTTCAACGTAATTACAGTAAAAACATTCAAAAACTCCAATTGCTTCAAATAGGAATGGCTGCTTCAAATAGGAATGTTTCATCTCCCAATGGCGATAAATATCCTCATATTTGGAATATTTTCCATCTTTGCAATGACGACATATTAGATTGCGGGGAGTTGCATCTATAATTAAAAAATGCACGAAATTTTAGTATCATTTTTGTGATATTTTTTTAAATGTTAAATAAAAGCAATACTGACTGGATGAATCTCTGTCATTATCACACTTAGAAGCCTTTGAAACATGATTTTGTGTCTTTTCTACGAATAAACAATAAAAATAATTATGATTGCGGTTTGATAGGCAAAAAAAATGTTTCGATCTTTGAGAAACTCACCAGCTCTGTGTGGATGTGACAGTTTTTCTTTGTTCTGATGACGTTCAATAAACTTTTCTGAATTTCGGTCACCACTTGTATTTAAAGAATTTGCGATGTTTTCTCCGGAGCGATGTTCAACCGATTTGTCATTGTTGGTTCGATTACCTAGTTTAAGCAGAATGATCATTTGATAAATTTTAATGTCGTAATGAGTTGATACGAAGTGAATGAAATAAACAAACCATTTTGTGTGATTTCATCACGTCTTCCGACGGTTTTACGTGTCAGATCTGAAGCAGTACTATTTTGTACTGAATGAAAAAAAAACAATACAATATATATTTGCTATATGTGTGTCATTTTAAGGACAAAACATTTCCTACCTTTTTCCAAAATTGGCTGCTGACCAATTTCAAAACTTTTCGAAATCGTGACGTTAGCTGTTGATGCGATAACGTTACTTGAACCGTCCGTGTTTGCTGACTTTGGTTTGGTACTCAAAATAGTCGAATTGGATTTTTTCTTAGCTGATGTTGAACATTGTTCTTGATTGAGTTCACTCTTTCTATTGAGTTCACTCTTTCTTTTCAGTTCGATATTTTTGCTCGAAATTGAAGTTGTCTTCGCATCCAATTCGGAATCATGACGCTTGTGTTTTTTACTTCGTTTTTTGCAGTCCATCCATTTTATTTCTTGGACACAAATTTCATAACATTCTTTAACACTGTGTGCAAATAAAAGAAAGAAATACATTAAGGGTAAAGTAACGAGAAATATATCACATTAAATTAAATATTACCTGTCTTCAGAACTATTTCTAAATGCCCTTTTAAAGCGGTTATTCAATTGAGTGGTGGCGGAATTCAGAAAAACTCTGGTGCCTAAAAGCAAACAAATTATAAAAAATTGAATTTTGTTGTAAATAAATTTTCAGAGCACAAAGATCAAAGTTCATCTACGTACCATGTTCGATACGTTCCAAATGTGCAAACATTTGTTTGTACCCTTCATTCTGGTTTTTTGATGGTCTGAATCTTTCTGACCGTAAAAATGGCTCGTCGGTATATCGGTCGAATGTTTTGATGATTCTGATATTTTATGAAAGGAGAAAATACTTGTATTGTTTTATTTGCTTTACAAAATTTGAATTAATAAGAGAAACATGCAAAATCAATAAAAATCGTTACCGTTCATTGGTCACTTTGATGAAGTGTCGTTTGTAGTTACCTAGAGTTGATCAGAAGAAAAGAATGAAAAAAATGGAAATTAATCAATAAGTAATGAAACGTTTGTAGTTACCGTCATGAAATTTTTGAAGAGTGGAATATACTGCCATCTCTTTAATCGAGATGGCTGTCATATTTCGCAATTTCGAACGCCACCTGCGCAATTCATAGGCTACGTTTGTATCCTTGCCCATTTTGTGTCCAACTGAATACAGACAATACAAACAGTAGCTCTAATATTTTCTCAGATCTACTTTGATCGTTTCTGCGTATCTGTAATACTAAAGATACATGTATTTGTGTGCGTCGCTTGCATACATAGGCAATTGTGTAACTCGCTCCACACAGTGTAAGCTACACTGTCGTAATAGAAAATGGATTTATTTATGTGATTAAGAACCGTTGCGATTGATATATGTGTTAGAAAGAGCGAGGAAAAAAATGTGACGAAATATGTTTTGAGAATTAGAAATGATTTACTGCGACATTAATGCAATAAATATAAACAATGCTTGCATTGTTCTTACAATGACTCATAAAACCATAAAATATAAACAATGCTTACATTGTATTACTGACTAAAATCTGGCGATGTATCCTGTTCAATTGCTGCACACTTTTTTTTGTTTAAGAAAGTACGAGACAATATCTTACATTTCGCACCATCGATTGACAAAGAATCGATTTGAACATCATCAGCCCATTGTATTAATTGGTTCTGCGTTGTTCAATAAGTAAAGTTTTTTTGGATTTCAACCTTCTGGAATTTATTTCAATGCAAATTAATGTTGAACAAGATTTCGATACCGAAATGATATAAAAAATCAACAATCTTTTAGGATATTTTTGATCACAAACCTTTTTGTTATTTTTATTTGACTGCACTTTTATTATTGAATTAACTTTCTACATGATTGCAACTATTAACAATTCAAACTTTTCTTTTCCTTCGGGTATTCAGATTTTCCGGATATTTCGAACGTTCAGTATCATGGGCGCTCGAAACCAAGTAGCTCGTAATCGAGTATGTTTTGGAAATTATTCAGAAAATCTCTTAACTGACTACTGAACTCTCAACAGAGAAAGTCCTGCTTTTATACAATTTTTCTTGTTTACATTGGATGCCACAGTATATTATTATATTTGTGCACAAAATTCTCAATTTCTCTGCGTTCAACGTTCAGAAAAACTGTTCTTGAAAATGCGGAGTATAATTTTTTTATTGCATTTGAAGACGCATTAATATATTACTCCAACATTTATTTCATGTGAAACCTTTTTGATCCTTTGTAACGCAGAGGTTTTGGTCCAACACACATGATCGCTTATTTAAACTTTGGATGGAGCGCGGTCAATTATTTTTGTTGAACAAAAGAACTTTAACATGTTTTTGCGTCTCCTCATTATTTTAAAAATTCAAATTTAGTTTTTTGAATTCAAAAAATTTTGAATTTTAGTGCATATTTAGAATCGGCGAGTAAAATTACCCTGGAAACAGACATTTTTGAAGAATTTTTTTTAATTTTTCATACGGTTAATTCGCTGACTTACACTCAAAATTGGCCAATCATAAAAATTTCAAAACAAATTTTATTTGATATCAACGGATATCAATAATTTTGTAAGAGGCATTTTCCAAATTGAAAATTCAAAAAATTCCTACACATAAATTCAAATTATTTTGAAATAAATGATAATTTTTGAGTTATTATTTAGCTTCAAATTTTATTACTTATAACTCATGATTGGAGAAGGTCAGTTTTCAGTGGTGTTTGGTTGCACCAGAATGCGTGCCAAAATGTCCGGAACTTGTATCAAAATTCCCGAAAATCGTACTAAATTTCTCAAAAATCTTATCAAAATGTCCCAAACTTCTTACTAAATTTACTAAACAAAATACATTTACGCAACCATACATTTTACGAATACTTTACTAAAATTATCAAAAATCTTACAAAAATTTCCGGAAAAAATAGAATTGAATAACGGATTATTATGAAAAATATTTTGTGTGTATTGTATATCAGATCTAATTATTAAAAATGAACATAAAAAGAACAAATAATACAACAATTCTCAACGACTCTCTCAAGTCTCAAAGTTACTTGATGAAAAATGTTCAGATTACTAAATTATATTAAATTATAATATAATTATTATTATTATTATACGTTTCGGAAATTATACCAAATCGTTATATAATAAATTCGAGTGAAAATTACCGAACTATTTCAATGTCTTGAAATGGATGTTCATTTCCAACTATTTTATTATTTAATTCAACTCTTATTTTCTAACACTGAGTCTGGAATCTGGGCTAAAACTGAACCGAATTGCCTCTTGATCATTGAATTTATACAATTCAGGACTTCTGACTATAATGGTAAAATCCGAATGGACCAATGATAAGTCGTAATTATAACTTCACAATGCAATAACCAGCGGTAAGATGTAATTATAACGTCATGTGCAACAACCAATGACAACTCGTACTTCGTAATGAAGAACCCAAAATGATAATGTGATAAATGTGATAATGAACAAAATAGTTTATTGGGCGGAAGAATAGTTGTAGAATAGGACGAAATAGACAATTAATGCTCGCGCCGTGGATTTGAGAGGTCGTTAGGTCATCTAGTTAGATTGCTGGTCATAGAAAGATGTCTGAAAGGTTTATCACTGGCAGATCAAATCAGACTCAATGCATAGTTCAAATAAAGCCAAATAGTGAGTATAATGCCTAGCCTAAATTGCAATAGAATAAATTTTTGAAAGAAAGTAAAAGTGTAACGATGAACGCGTGTGCATGTCGATTGATGGGGGCATGCACATCTTAATCGGTTACAGTATATATAGAGATAGTTATACAGTATATATAGTGAGTCAACTTTTCACTAGTGTAGTTTTGTCACTCGCACAAAGTGCCGTGAGCTGTGATGATATTTTTTTTTAAGTTGGGGTTGATGACACGTACACGCGTATCATAAGTGACTTTTTTGGACGTTGGTGTTCCATATATAACAAAGAAATGACAATTTCTATCTTCTAAAAGGCGTAAACAAGAAAATGAGACAAAAACAAAGATTTCGTTAATCGATTATATTTTGATAAAATACTTGGAATGAGAATGAATAATAAATATATATTGAACTTATTTCTTAAAGAAAAAACAAGACAGTTTAAAATTTCGTTCATTTATATTTGCATTTTCAACTTTCCACATCATGCATGATGCATGAAAATACACACGAAATACAAAGGAATTATATCTCAAAAAAATCAAGTTGAACATCTGCACAGTTACTATACCTCCAAGGAGTATCAATCAAATCTATTGTTTTAATCGATTTCCCAGCAGCATATTCTCTGATGCGTTGTTTAAAATGTGCATATCGACATTCGATAAGAATCGATCGTTTTGATTCGCTTCTTTTCATCTTGAATACATCAACATCATAGGTTTGGATGCCAATCATATTGCAGAGGCGATGATAAATCGTTGATAAATTTTCATGTGTAAAATACGCGATGTTGATTCCAACAACATATTTGATTTTGATTTCTTCTTCAATTTGTATTTTCAACAGAGAACACCACTCGTTCAGCGCATTCTTAAAGTTATCGATGTGAGAACAATACGACAACTGATTGGAAATATTGTTGCTTATTGTGAATCCATTTTTGAACACAGTTTTCATTTGATAAAACGATGCTTCGAAGAATTGTTGAATTCTCCGAATAGCGCTTTGGTAATTGGAAAATCCGTGAACTTCTCTCAAATGAAGAATAAAGTCAAATGCTGTTTTCGCTTCATGATTGCAACAGACAATTCCGTGCGCCTGCTTGTGAATAATTAAATCTTTATCAGCAACCATTTGTTTACAGTTGCAAATATAATAATCGATTCCAATGTGTAAATCGTTTGAATTTTTTTCCTTGATGAGCTTGCTTAGATTATCCAGAGATATCTTTGATGAATTCGTATCAAAAGCATAAAACCGATATGGCTTCAAATGACTGTTAAAATGGTGTAGAAGCCAATGAGAATATACATCGCGTTCACGTTTAAAAGTGCTTAATAAATTTTGGTCTTTGCAATACGCACAGTGAAATATTACACCACTTTCTTCTGTTCGACCTGTATTAAAAGAAAATATTATTATTATTATTGTACAATCTTTAGTGAATCTTTCAAAAACCAACCAATTTTTGAGCATTTTTGATTTATAATCACATCAGATAGTATCAGGATCTTATTTTCATCCGTTGAACCTAAGTCAAAAACAAAATACGATGTTTTACCCTGTGAAAACAAATACTTTTAATTAAACTAACCGGTTTGAGTAGACTTTGATTTCAAATGGGTAGTATCGTTTAGTTTGGTGATATTTCCTCGTTCAATTTTCAAATTTGATTTTGTAGATTTAGTTCCATCGTGGCTATTCGGATCAAATTTATTCATTTTGATTGTTGCTTTCAATTCAATTTGGTTCTTCGAATCATCTCCTTCAGTCTTGATAGGTATTTTCAACTTTGGCCGTTTAACAAAAACATCGAATGCCTCTTTAATGCTGAAATATAGTAGTATAATATTAAGATTTTTTTTGCTATTTTAGAATAATGTGCCAAATTTATTAGGTATATATTAAGTTTTTTAATGCATTACCAATTTTTTGCCTCCTTATGCAGATAACTTTTGACATCATCGTCGATGTTATACAATGAAGTTCTTAAACAAAATCTGGTTATTTGTTCAATGTTATCAAGAAGAGAGAACATCGAATTATAGAAATTACTCGGTTTGGTCTTAAACGGTCTCTCTTTTCGCATAAAAGGTTCATTGATGCAACGGTCGATAGATTGCTTAATACTACAAATTTGAAAAAAACATGACAACTTTAGATTTTTCTAAAGGTTCCAGAACTAATATTCTTACCGACGAACAGAATAGCGTACAAAATAACTTCTGAAGCCATCACTATCAAATTTCATTTTATCCATTTCATTTTCGAAGAATCTACCAATAGTTTCATTCAAGGCCTTCCGCCACTTACGCGTTTCACTATATACTGCGCACATTGTGGATTTTTTAGTTGATTTTAATGTTCGTCTCCAGCAAGTGCTAACACTGTTATATAGAAAACAAAATAAAAACCATTTGAATATTTTTAATCAAAACGAGTATGAAAATTACATCGAATATTTTTGCGTCAATCACTTATAATTCAATCTCACTTCAGTCAATTACTTGCAGTAAATGAATGCTGTAGAATACACGTCAATTTATCCTATTGCCTACTTGATATATATCTAACGAAAAATCCGAGGGAAAATGTAAAGTAATAAAATAAACACGATATATCGATCAAGTGTGTATGTTGCATTTATTATGAAATTAAATCAAACCAAATAGTCCCTGGAATTGTATAAGATTTATGTAGCCGAGATTTTATTGTCACTTGCAATGTACAATTGATCGGCTGAGAATAAAAGTGACTTTAAGTTTTTTTAAACCGTCTCCATCTTATGTAAATCCTATACAAATTATGAGACACTTTTAAGATTTTTTCTGCTTAAAGTCTCTTTTATTACCAGCCGTACAATTGTACATACTTGAGCAAAAATGAAAAACAAAATAATTTTGATCAATACCTGCTTTGTTTTTTAAATAAACAAAGTAACATGTTTGAATTAAATTCAAAGTATTCAAATAACGAGTTAAATTTAAATTAACAAAAGAAAACAAGGAGACGCAAAAAAAATGTAAATGTTCTTTTCTTTACTAACAATTTGATCAAGTGACCAAAAAAGGATAGGGAAAATTAATCGTAAACATGATATAAATCGTATAAAAGGAGGACTCTCTCTACAGAGAAGTCAATCTTTGCAAATCCAGCAAAGGAGAAACAACTGCTTAAATTGACAATAAGTCAAAATTTAATTCTTTTAAGGTAACTAATGCTATAAAGAAACTATTTATTATAGTGAATTCCCCAAGTCGTACATTGCATGTATATTTGTACATTTAATATTATATCTATTGGAAATATCGAGAGGAGAGTATGTTTTTATTCAGACATTACTCAGCCATAAGCGCTGAATAACATACTCTCTTCTCGATATATTCAATAGATATATAGTATAACACTAGAAACGTGATTCGTGGATGAACGTCATTCACATGTATGCATCCTGATATACAATTCATTTGATGACATAACCAATGGGCATTTATTATAGCTCTATGGTTGTCTCAATATTAATCTGATCGTTTTTTATGTGTTTTTTGTTGATAATTTGAAACCACTGGAATCGAATTTTCTAAAGAAATTAAAAGATAATAATATCATTGAAAAATCAATGAAAATTTCTGTTTTTATTCATTCATCTTACCCAACTTCCTAATTTTTTCGACGGTTAATTGGCGAATATCCGGTACACCCATTCTAATATCGTAATTACGTTCCAGTGTTTGTTTAATTTCAACACTCATCAAAGAATCCAAATTCAAATCAGCCAATGAGGTTTGGTTTGAAACATTGTTCAGGTCTTTTAGTCCCAAAATATTGGCGATGCAACTCACTAAATCATTATCGCTTCTTTTAGCTGTGTATTTTTCGGCCATGACCATAGATACGAGGACAGCGTGTGGTTGCTGCATGAAGTGATCGATTGTTTTTAAGCATGATACCATACGCTGTGGCAATGTACCATTAATAACAGTATTGTTATCGCCCAAATTGTCAATAACCAGACCAGTATCGCCAATTGCGCCCCATTGGATTGCTGTACCTGGAAAACCAGATGCTTTACGATTTTCACAGATACGTTCCATAGCTGAATTAGCCAAACCATAATTAGTTTGACCAATAATGCCACGACCACTCGTTACACTTGAAAAACACACAAAGTAATCCAATGCCGGACACAATTCACGTGAAATCGTATCGAAATGTTTGGTGGCATCAATTTTTGGTTCACAAACCGCTTTAAAATTGGCTTCCGTCTGATTTTCAAATAAATCATCGTGTAAAATTGCAGCAAGATTAAAAATTCCGCCAATTGGTCCCAGGCGATTTGCTGCTATCAACAAATTTTTGACACCATCCAACATTGTAATGTCATTAGTATCAATTATGACTTTAACACCACGATCGTTCCAGCGACGCATCATCCATGCTTGATAATTAGTTTTAACACCATTTCGAGATGTTAAAATCAGTTTTGTGGCACCGCGTTCAATCATCCAATTTGCCAATTCTAAACCAAAACCACCCAAACCACCTGCAATGATGTACGATTTCTCATTGTGCATGTATGTCTTCGGAATGGCAGAAATCAATTTTGGGACTGGATTTAACGACTTTTGTGTTTCTTCCTCGCGTATTTTGATAATAGTTTTGCCGATTAGTTTGGTGTCATCCATGAGACGGAAGGCATGTTCAAGTTGCTTGTCACTAAAAACGATAGTTGGCAACGGATGAACCGCTCCGTTTTTAATACCATCAGCAACCAAACAAACAACTCTTTCGATAGTTTTATCATCCTCATTCATAATATTTTTCAATGAAATGCCGTGGAATGAAATATTTTTCTTAATAATCGATTCTAAAAATGAACTTGAAGCTTTGCGCATATTGGGTGTGTCGATTCCCAGGAATCTGCCGTTCGAACATAAGCAACTTATTGAAGCTTTGATTTCATCAGCACATGAATTCAACACCAAATTAACGCCTTTCCCTTTAGAAGAACGCATGATAAATTGCTCGACTGATATGTTTCGTAATCTGTTGATGTTGGTGTCAGTCAATTGTGGGAAAGTTTTTTTCAAAAATTCACGTTCTTCTTCGCTATCAACAGTGGTATACACTATTAAGCCATGATGCAAGGCCACATTGATGGCGGCTAGACCAAGATTACTTCCAGCACGAATTAAAATTGATTCTCCTTTCATCATTTTACCTCGGACGACCAAAGCATAGTAGACGGAAGAATAAATACATGGAATGGTTGAAGCTTGCTCCATAGTCCAATCATAAGGAATTTCCCAAATCATATTGCGTTGAGCAATGCAAGTTGTAGCTAATGATTTACCTTTCACTATTGCCATGACACCTGCGAATAAATTGAATTTTACACATTTTGATATGTTCATTTTTTTTCACTGATTAAAACCTACGTTTTCCGCTTGAATCGCGACCAGAAAACTCCAACCCCAAGCCACAATCTTCATTATTGTGCATATTCAAATTATCCATAGTCATTTTTCCCGAGCTTAGCATAACATCGCGTAAACTAACTGGCGCATAGTAAACTGTGCACAGTTCAATCCGTGTATCTATTGGATCGGGTGTTTGATGTGTAAACGGGCTTTCAATCCATGACAAGCTTGACAAATCACCTTTGTTTAATGTATTAACATATGCATGTTCAACCTGTATGTTTTCTAGACCTATTTGTGAATTCAATTTCAAATGTCTGTATGTTCCCCAACACCCATTCTTATACACATTGATGACCAAATCCTTGCTCATTTGATCGGCATACATTTTGCTGGCAAATGAAAATTGTCCATCGTTTGCATCTGGAACAAATATTAAGCGTACAAATTTCCCTCCATTTTCACGTTTTAAACAATTCATAAAACCAACAGCGCCCAACAGCTCTTCACCTTGCCCTATAACGTAAACATATGTGTTATCTCTTTCAGCGGTGGCCAATGCTGATTTCAATCGTTCAAGATATGCGTAGTTTTTTTCTGTAATCGAAATTATCGTTTTGTTTCTCGCAGTAATATCGATCATTTGACGTAATAAGATCAAGTATTTGTTTGAAGCACATTGAATAGAGATAACTGTCAAATTGAAGATGGCAAATAAATTATCGGCTTCAATTTTATTATAGGCGTCAATATTTTCTTCGAGCAAAATGAAACCATCTTCACGGATTGAGGCTTTAAGATGTTTAAAAATTTCATTGACGTTCATGCGGAAAACAACATCATATGCAATAATCAAGTGGCTATTCAATTCAGCTGGACCCGTGCCCAGATCTTTGGTTTTAATCGAAATACTTCTTTCAGCAGCAATTTGTATATCGGATTCGGTTGATCGCATCTGTACAATGATTAAATCGCTTACAACAAGTGGTTCGCTATCGATTACTCTTTGAATGGTCAAAACAATTGCATTTTCGATTCTTCTATTATCGGCAACATCAACAATTTTAAATTTTAATATACCATTACTGTTTTCAATGACCAGATGTGTTGCAACTGAAATGGCATGGAAACGTGCACATTCTGTAGACTGTGATAATTCTTGATTCATATTTGTTAATGAAACAAATTCATAATGTTCCAAAATCGGCGATGGTTGAATGTCTGAACGTGGTGCCAATGAAAGTTTTATCCCGCGCAATTCAACTCCGCCTGATCTAATGATGCCATCATACATGTAAACAGGAAGTTCAGCGTTGTTTTCTTTCAGATTTGTAATAATTTCAAAGTGTTTATTTGGATTGAAAACAACCCGATCAATTCGAGTTGGCAAGTACAAGTCACGTGAATCTTTCCCTAAAATATTGATTTGTACCATGGTATCGCTGAAGCTAACCCAATTATCTTGCCATTTCAGTTTGCCTGAAAGGGATTCCATGTTTAGTTGGCTGATACTACGGAATTTACCATTATAATCGTAACCACGGAGACGTAATTCCTTATAAACATCGTCGATTTTCAATGGCAAGCACAATTCGTCTCCTTCAAGTTTTCTATTCAAGTTTGGTTCGGATTGCTCGAATTCAATATCTCCCGGGGTATAAATTTTGCCAGAAACTACAATCGAGCCACCTTCACATATTTCAAAACAGCCACTGCTATCCAAGAAACTAAAGTTGAACTTGACAGAACCCTCTTTCGGTAAAGTGATGTTACGATGAAAGACAATGTCTTCTAGAACAACCGATGTTTTATCGAATGTGCTGTTCTTTGTCTTTGCAAATATGCGCCATACCAAATGTATATAACCAGTAGCTGGGAATAGAAGACGACCGTCAATCATGTGGCCACTAAAATATGCATCTTCATCTTTTTTCAGATTAATCTCAATGATGCTGTGACCGGAGATTGCTAAAAATTTTTAAAAAATAATATGACTTTGGACACTTAATTTTTCAAACGATATTAATGATAAAACACTAACAATTTATCTCGAATTTAGGTACAAAAAAACGCTGTGAGTGGTCCCATCTTATTTTCGAATTCAACATAGGTGTGCCACAACCAACTGGATATGAAATTGGGGCATACAACTTGGATATTTGCGGTTGTACTCCAGCGGCATACAATCTAAAAAAATTAAGTATTTCAATATTTTAACCATAACGTTCGTCTTTATCAAATGGACATTTTACGAACTCACTTTCCAATATTTTGCATGAAGAAAACCAGATTGTTTTTGTGTCCACGTTTAATCAAGCTCAACGGGATGTTTTCACTACCAAGCGTACGCTTTAAAATAGCCTGTAATAAACCGGTTGGAGAAATTTCGATGCAGATGGCATTCTTTGGAATATGTTGAATGGCATCGTGGAAGAAAACTGGCGATAGCATATTGTTTTCGTGATAAGCGGGCGAACTCTGTTGTGCAAGTGTCGATGGCCAATCTTCCTCATGAATGCTTGTGCTCAGCCAGCGTGATGTGCGGTTTTTCGGTTGTGGAATAATTTTTTCTAATGATTTTTTATATATGGGTCCAGCACTAGCAATGTATTTACTGTGGAAAGCATACCCCGATGTATTTACGACCTTTGCAAACACACCCTCTTTGATAAGATCATCAATAAATCTGGTGATCAATTCTGGAGGACCTGCGATGGTGACACTTTCGTGACCATTGTGACAAGCTGCAACGATATCAGCTGGAGCACGAGCCTAGTAAATTCAACTCTATAATTTTGATTACGCTCTTTTTATAGAAAAAATATGATAACTACCTTAGTTTCCTCCCAAGTTAGTCCAATTGAAGCCATCCGACCTTTTTCCATGACCGTTTCCAAGCTGCGACCTCTCCAGTAGGCTGCCAAAATGGTTTGCTCTAGTGTAAAGCAGCCATCGGCATATGCACAGGCCAATTCACCAATCGAATGTCCGATTATTCCGTTTGGTGAGATACCCAAATGACTCAAAACATCCGTAAGAGCAATTTGAACGGCAGTAATTGAGACAAACGTATTCACAATATGATCGAATGTTGATTCGTCACTTTTGCAAAGAATTTTCATCAAATCAATGCCTTCACGGCGTAAAATGTCGGCACATTGCAAAATGCTGTTGCGGAATACATCCAAATGCATTACATCCTTAGCCATACTTGCCCATTGCGATCCCGTACCCGTATAAATGTACCAAATTTCGTGGTTGTCATTGATTAATTCACTTACTCCACGTACAGTTGGAATGTCACCAACTATGGTATAACCACGGCACAAATGCAACGGAATATTTTTTGAATGGATTTCATTTATTAGGTTTATAAACTCTATGTCGAATTTATTTTTTTCAATTTCATCTAAAAGCAAATCAACTGCTTCAGTAGTACGACCTGAAACCACGATTAAACGTGGAACTATGTCCATGTCCATGGATGTAATGAATTTTCGCTTTTTATTGGATTTCAAGATGACATGAGCATTGGCACCACCAAAACCGAATGAATTTAAACCAACAATGCCACCACTCCATGCCGTATTTCGATCAACAACTTTCACACGCCCATCGAGAATACCGTACAAATCTGGATTTGGTGATTTGTAGTGCAAGTTACCTGGAATAACTTTGGCTTCCATAGCCAAAATTACTTTTACTATCGAACAAACACCAGAAACTGCTTCTGAGTGACCCATATTAGACTTAACGGATCCAATCAACAACGGTGTTTTACGATTTTTACAGAAGAAGTCTGTAATTGCGTTTACCTCTTGTGGATCACCGACCTTGGTACCAGTACCGTGAGCTTCAACATAGTCAACATCGTGTGGATTTAGCGCAATTTCATTGTAAGTTTCACGGATCAATTGTTTTTGCGTGCTCCCGTCGGGGAATGTAATACCTTGCTCTTTGAAACCATCGGTGTTTGTGCGAACATTTAAAATAGTTGAATAGATGCGACGAGCTTGGCTTTCCAATTGTACGAAAATGACAACACACCCCTCTGAACGAACGTAGCCAGCACCATTTTCATCAAATGCTTTACATTTCCCTTCAGTGCTTAACACATTTAGTCGCATCAATTGCAATGACATGGTTGGATTTAACGTAATGCCAGATCCAGCAACAATGGCTGAACTACAATTGCCTGCTTTCAAATCGGAGAATGCCTGTGACAATGCATACAATGAACTCGAGCAAGCTGTATCGCATGCATAACTTGGTCCTTTGAAATCAAACGTGAATGATAGACGATTGGCAAACATAGCTCGAGCACAACCAGTTAAACCATAACCATTGACACGATCTGGATCGGCAAGCCAATAGTTTTCAGTTTCCGAATGTGATACACCAATATATACACCAGTACGGCTGCCACGCAATTCATGCGGATTGTAACCGGCATCAATGATTGCTTCGTGTGTTGCTTCTAGCAATATTCTTAATTGTGGATCCATACATTCAGCCTGTTTTTGATGTACACCAAAAAATTGGTGATCGAAATTTTCCAAATCTTCGTCCTTTATTTTGCCCATTCGATCTGGTAAATCGTATAAGCCAGCTGGCCAACGTCTTGGTTCGTCATTAACCATATCAACGCCATTGAATAAATTGTCCCTGAATTCTTCGATAGTCGAACTTTCTGGCAAACGCCCGGACATACCAGTGATCACAATTTCATCGGGTAATTTTTTATAACTATACCGTTCGGAGGCCATATTCAGTATAGCAATCTTCACTTTCAAAGTGATATCTTTATGTTTATTGATTTTGCAACACTTCACAAACAATTTTCTTTTCACGACTGAAGAACTATTTCAATTTTTAACGTAACAAAGTTCCCATAAATTCTTATTGTATTTAAAATATTTTCAAATTCTTTAAATTCACAAATTTTCAATGTTTGGTCGTTTGGTGATATTTGGATTATTTTACTATATATCTTAGTTCCTCTTTTGGAACTTTTTTGAAAATGAGAAAAACACTACAATTTGAATAGATATGGTTCGAAAATCGAAGTTGAAAAACAAACTATCTATATGATCTAACGATGTTTATTGGTCAATTACTAGAGTGTATATGATTTGAATCAAGTCGTGCGATGTATATATATAACCTTAACCGTTCAAACAGGTGCTATTATAATATCGATATTTACATAATTAAAAAAGCTTTTACCGAACGTTCATTACTATTAATATTCATTAAATCACATTCCGTTCTCTATTACGTTTAAATTGTATTCAGAATACAGGCCTATATTATTCAGTTACAACAAACACAATTACACACAAAAAAATCAACATAACTTTTTAAACGATTGTATCGTTTAATGTTGGATTCAAACGATAAATTCATCTTTTAAACGATAAATTCGTTTAAATTTGAAGATATTAAACGATTTTACCGTTTAAAAGATGAATTTATCGTTTGAATCCAACATTAAACGATACAATCGTTTAAAAAGTTATGTTGATTTTTTTGTGTGTAGTGTTATAGTAAGCCATGTGTAGTTGGCGCATCGCAGATATGTGGTTCTAATACAAGTGGCGTCGACGAATCGCTCGCTTAACCGATCATCACAAATAACAACACTGTCATTCAAAATCAAACTCAGTGAAGTTTACTGTTAACTTGAAAGAATGACAAAAATGTCTTAATAGGCAGACATGTTATGTAAATTAATTACAAATCTCATATCTCGTTACGTTCCATTAAGAAAGTTTAAATTGGAAGTTTGCACGTAGACCGAGTTTACGATGTTCAGTGCGTTTTGACCTTAAAGTAAAAAATCTCTGGTTATTTAATTGCTTCTAAACAGAAGATTAAATAAAACATGATTTTTTCAGGTTTTATACAGTTAGTAATTTTCACTGCTCACAAAAGCAAGATCTTGAATACTTATAGTTCACGTTCTTTCTGTCATTGTTTTATACTATTAGTTTTTTTTAAGTAAAATCTTACCTTGTGACATCCAAATTTCAAGTGAATAAATTCCTAAGCAGACAAATTTTATAATTAAATAAGCTCTCACATAGTAAAAAATTCTTTATTTTAGATTCAACGACTCTAGATAATTAAAAATTCCATAGTTTCCAGTTGAAAAAATATTGTTTTATGTTTTGCAACCAATGCGTAAATAATTTCCCGTTTGGTGTTTTAAACATCAAATGACAATAAAGTACTCTTTTTATTAATTTGAATGTTCAGTTTTAATTTTTTTTTCAATTACGTAGAATATAACTTGAAAAAGAAAATTAAAACATTTCATTATAGCATGTGTCAAACTTGATAAATAAAAGAACCGTCGAAAAATTATAATAATCAAATTATGAATAGCGCAGACAAAATTTGGACATTTTTTTTTGTTTTATATTTATTTATAATTTTCATATAGAAATTTTGAGAATATAATGTAGCACTAAAGAAATTGTAATTAAAATCAATGTTCCACTAGATTTGAATAAATTTCATTGAATTCATCGGTTTGATAAGTTGGCATATTGTTAAACGTCCAAATACGTTTAGAAACTAAATGCTCGAATGCATACGACTTTTGTAAACAGATAGAGCGATTTGAAAGACAATAGAAAGCGTGATTACAATTATTATCCAGCCATGGATTTAAGATCGGACACTTCTTTTGTTAAATTACTTATGTCATGTTCCAAACGAGCCACTTTATGTAGTAAATAAGTTTCAAATATTTGATCGTGTTTAGTAAGTGTATCTAATTTCAAATTAATGGGATTTCCCGCCAAATCGTAAGATTCAACTTTTCTTGCGAAGAACACAAACATCGATTGAAAATCGAATGCAATATTATTAGTTGAAGCGTGTAAGACCTTCAAACTGTGTGTTTGCCATATCCAATCGATATGCAACAACAAATTATTTCGTAGATATATCCTTTCGAGTTTATTCATTGGGTCAATGTATATTGGTGAAATTTTATTGGATTCGGCAAAGATTTACGTCATATTTGATTTGACATCCAACTCAGTAAATTGATCATGTGCAATATTTAGCACTTTTATTTTTGGCATTTCCGTATATTTCATATATTTTAAGTCTGGATTGAATGATATGTTCAATGTTTTCAATTCTTGTAGTGGCTTAAATGTGTCATTGTCTATTATTTCAATTGAATTGTAGAGGTAATGGAATATATCTGCATTGAGCGTTTTTAATTTATTGTTGTACAAACGTAAATTAGCCAAAGATTGTAATGGCTTAAAAACACTTCCATTGAATACATTGATATTATTATTTGACAAATCCGAAGTGTCAATGCGGCTAGATTTTGAAATGCATTTTCATCGATAGTGTCGATTTTATTTCCAGACAATGGTAGAATTTCGAGTTTTTGGCAATCAACAAGTAAGTTGGCGGGTAATGATGTTATATTTGAGGTTTTGCCAATCGCAAAATCCTTTTACCGTCATGATATCGACTTGTGTTATTTCACTGAAAGTTATCTTCTTACAGTCTTCATAAAAAAATTTCAAGTTACTTATTGTATAACTTTCACCAGTGAACGCATTTGTATCTTAATAAAAAAAACTGAATAATTAACTTCACATATAATGGTACACAGTATGGAAATCTAAACATGACTTAATCATGAAAATCTATCAATTTTTCGATTCAAAAAAATTTCCTTTCAATATTGATAGAGCGAATTGATCGGTTTTGAGTACAAAATAGTTTCAATTTGACAATCTTTCTAATGCCAATTTCTGAATTAAACTAATTCGTTACCAATTCGTAACTCCAAATGGAGAGCTCTATAAATCATTTGTTAAGACATAAATGTATTGTGTGGCAGAGCTATCCTTATCAATACTTGATTAAAGATTGTACTTTATGACATTGAAATGTTGGCGCGTGTTTTTATGATATTGTTTTTTGGTCTTTTGATGTTGATGATTTTGATGTGAAAGAAATATCAATACAGCCGCGGTCGATTTTTCTTAAATCGAATTTTGAGCACTTTGAAGATTTACAAAAAATGTTTTTTTTTGGCACGAGAAAATCGACGTTAGAATTGAGATACAAAATCACCAAAAATTTGATTTGCCTGTGTGACATGAAACTTCAAAAAAAAAGTTTACTAGCGAGTCAAATTAAGTCTAGATTTAATTGCTTAAATACCGTAAGAAAGTCATAATGAAATAAAAACAAAATTCGTGTTTTTTTTTTGGTATTTTATTTTTATATTTTTTGTTTAAAGCAGTCAAGTTCTATAATTTATATTTATAATTATTTTTATTTGTACAAACTTCAACAATTTTTAGTAAATATTAAAGATTATTAAAATTACGATATTCATAATAAAAATATACAAGCAGCGTTTTTGTTGTTATTTAAATTTCAAATATTCATCATTACATTTTTTTAAATATTCTCATTTGTTGTTGTCTTGTGTTTGTCTTTTTTTTGCCATAAATTGTAGTTTGTTTTCGCTTTTCCTTGTTTATTTTTTGTGTGATTGATTTTGCAGTAGTATGTGTTTTGGAGAATGTTGTTTTTTTTTCTTGGTATTGATAGTGTGTTTGTGACAATTGGTCAAATAAACGTAGGATCAAATGCGTGAAATTATGAAGGGAGTAAAGTTGTGTAGTTTTTCCATTATTTTGGCTATTGAGATGGATTTATGAAGCAAATGACTGTTGCATTTTGATCTATGATTATCTTTCATTTAAAATGGACACTAATTTCTGCCTTAAAAACACCAGCAGATCATATATTCAGATTCGATTTCATTCGAATTTTATTTGCACACGTATTAAAATTAAATGGGCAATTTTTCAACTCGAAATTTCAATCGAAAATGAAAATCGAACACGCACACAGATCATCTATGTATGCATGTATTGGTTTATTGGAATGGGCAATGGCTGCTATCGAAAAATTACTGCTATCGATTGACTAATTTTTATATTTGTGACAAACTCTAAACGGTGATCGACACGGTGCTGTGAAACGTGAGGTATTGAATGCAAATAATCGCATCTCTTTGGATCCTGGGAAGATTTTATCCAAAGATTTGCCATTATTGGCGGATTGTGAAAGAATAGATATTGGAATTATTGTGCTCTTTTCCCCACTCTCGCTCCTTCACTTCATCACTTCAAAGCTTTTGCAACTGCAGAAAATCAGTATTTAATTAATCGAATTTAGTTGCTGGACAAGTGTATAAATTCCACACATACATAAAAAGAAAGGAAAATTATTCAGGCGGTATGAAATCAAAGTAAATACTTTGCGTCATTTTCAAACGAAAATTGGCTTGATAAGCGCTCTGGAATCGATCGAATGCAACATATGAGAGTTTAATTAGCATGTTTGTTTGTTTGTTTTTTTGTTCTTTTATGTCTCACACAATATTCGATGCGATAATCTGGTTCATTCATTGTGTTCGTGTTTCTGTGTGTCCTCTAAAAATGATTTTCATTTAGCTATTTTATATCTAAATGCGATCAAATTGATTTACTTGAATTTAATAGTTTGTGTCTTTCTTAAATGCAATTATTATTGTTGAGACAGAGAAGAAGAATAATTTTTTTTGTTTGTATATCGTTTAAACGGAAAATTGTTTCGATTTTCCTTTGCTGTAGTTGTTATTTTATTTCTAAAAGAGATAACACACATAAATTGCATAGAAAAATCAATTCTAATCACAATTGCAACCTAATTTCGAGATAAGCTTTTTGTTAAAAAAAACACATTTCAAATTAGGTAGAAAATGAAATCATAATAATCGTTTAGCTATTTCAAAAAGCTAAAATTGTTTCTGATTTAATGCTATTTTAATTACCTACTTTGATACCGTATTTTCGAAGAATGATTTTCGATTGATCAATTTGAGGTGATTAAACTGATCGCTCTTATTTTCTTATGTTTTTTCATTCGGTTTTTTATTGGCTAAAATAAAAACGAAATAAAAAAAAGAAGTGAAATTGTGGGCGGGGCAATATTAAACCGAAAATGGTTTGCATTTAATTTTCTTATTACGTTGGGCGGTCATCGTCAAGACTCGTCTCTTACTCGGAAATTGATACAGAAAATATCATTTATATTGGTTTTGCATTTGTTCTCGGTACAAAGCGAAGCTGATGAAACTAAGTTTAGATCTTCGTCTACTTGAAAATGGCAGGATTTTCGTTTTGGTTGATTCTTAAAAAATATTCTTTTACTTTGTTGTTGTTGAAATTTTCGTGTGTAATGCATTTTATGGTCAAATGTGCGCGTGGTGTTGTTGTGTTTATAATCGAAAGAGTTTTAGACTTATATATGATGAGAAAGATTCACTGAAAATTTACCATAACGTCGGTGCCGATATTGGGTACATAATCGATCAAAGCAATTTTTAAGAAGCTCTGCATGACTTTGCCGACAAACGAAAGTAGTAGCATAAAATTACAAAACAACTTTACATTCAGCAAATCAGCTTTTGGATAGAGAGTTGTTGGCATGTTTTTTTTTTGTTATTTTAATTTTTTTGTGATCACTTGCACACCAATGTTGAAAATGAAAAATAAGCTCAATGTGATTTTCTTTGTTCATAAGATAAAATGGGCAATCGTCGGAGGGAATAAATCGATTGATTGTGTGTAAGTGTGTGTGTGTGTCTCAGTTTTGTCGGGGTTGGACAATGCGCTATCAAAATCCCATTCATTTTACGGATCAAACAAGAAAATCGAAGAATGGGAGAAATTAGATATAAATTTAATCAAATCGTTGTTTTATCATTCGATAACTCTTTCTCTTAAATTAATTCATTATGAGTCATTCATCCAGTATTTACATTCATACGCAATCAGATTATTGTATTTTTTTCGAAATTTAAATTCTGTTATGCGTGCGTATCAGAGAGATAAAATAAATAAAGAAGAACAAATCGTATCTATCAGTCATAAGCTAAATTCAAGACACACACCCAATTTTCCTAAAATATTTGAATTTATGTACAAATATCCTACGTATAAATCCCACATCTATAGGTGATTTCAAAATAAAAAGAAATGAAAAGAATAATCACGCGTATAAAGAAGCGAAACTAATTCAAAAAATAAATAAATTGTTCATCCCTCCAAACGAATAACGTGAACACATAGTGCTACACATTAACGCTCCAGTGAAATATTTTACCGAACCGAAAACTCAATAATTCAATTAAAAACTAAACTATTTATCTTTACTTTTTCACTTGGTATTTGGTCACTCAATTTTGATCGACAAGCGCGCGCGCACCACATTTACATCATAGTTTTCCAATATATTTTATTTTCACATAATGTGGATTCTAAAAATTTCTACATTATCATTCGCTATAATCTAATGCTTTGATTTCTTTTCTTTTTTTTTTTAATAAATTTTCCCTCAACTAACTCATTGCGCCGCGCTTGGATAGATTTTCTGATTGGGACACATTTCTTAAACATTATATTTTATCTATTCGATTGTACAATTTTTTGTTTAAATTTAGTTTAGATTTTTCTTCCATTTTTTTGGATAAACTAGTATCTAGTCGAATGGGTTTGATTAACATCATTGCACAAATGATGAAAATACAAATTTATTTTTCCTTCCGCTAATCTAAAGCATTTTCTTTTAAATTGTCTTTGTTTGTTTGTTTTGCTTGTTTATTTGCTTAAAAAAGTGTGCAACCGAATTTATAAGTCGAATTGAATTTTAAATTCCTTTCACTTTTGGGAATGTGGGTAAATCAACACACGACTTTCGATTTCAAAATGAAATATGCATTTTTTCACGTTTTAAAATTGTCAAAAGATGTTTAGAAGTGATTCGTTTGTCTTCTCATCATTGAGTTGGTGATTCAATTTGGTGTATGTGTGTTAATTTGTGTGTGTTGTGTGTGAGATTGTGTATTAAGACTTTAGCATTCTTGCATAAAATTGGTGACAATCATTTTTTGTTTGTTTGTTTTTTGCTTGTTTTGTTAATTTTACGTTTTTGCTTAATTTTTAAAGTTTAATGATAAAATTGTTAGTAGTTGTTGTTTGGTTTGTTGTAAGTTCGCCTCACCTCTTTAAAGCAATATATCAAAAAATGTTGTTGTTTGTTGTGGCTGCTGGCTGATTTGGCTGGCTCTTTTTCTTGATTTGTTGCTTAGCTGTGTGTTTTGTTTTTGTCGAATGCACGCAGAAAGAAAGAACAAAAAATGTATATAAAAAAATGCGTTTCTAGCTCTTAGTCGAATACTTGTGTGTATGTTGTTTTCTCCTGTTTTTTGTTGTTGTTCATAATTCATAATATAGCACATAGACGTTTTTCATGTTCATGGTTTTTATTTCTTATGTTTTTTTCCTAGAAAATGCGAAATGGCATGGCGCAAAACGAAAGATTTTTCATTGCTGATATTGCGAGTGGAGAAACTTTGGTTTTTTTTTTCAGCGAAAAGTGAACAAAATTTTAATCCTCGATTGTTTTCATGTGATTGTTGAAGTGCGATTGTTTAAAAAGCCTTAAATTACTGCTGATGCTGATGGTGCCTGGTAGACGATATAAAGCACATGTATTTTTAATCGATCTTGATGTTTCTTTTAATTTTTCAAATTTAAATTATGCATATCTAGTTGTGGTTTAGTTATTCGTATCGATTTGTTTGGTTTGTTATTTGCTTAGCTGTTGCGCGTTCTGCTTAAACTGGCTTAAATCGTTAAGTTCATTAAAATTATCTAAGTCTTTTTATAATTTTAAATTTATGAATGTGTTTTTTGTTGTTATTTTTTATTTAATCATATGTGTTTTTTTTAATTATGCTAAATATGCGCAATGTCGTTCATGATTTTATAAACTTAGTTTTTTAATATATTCAATTGCCTATTTTTTCTTTTAAAAATATTCTATTCTTGAGTTTCATTTAAATTGAAAAAAAAATCGGTTTTTGTTTTTTTTTTCATTTAAGTAAGTGGTTTTGAGTGTGTTTTTGTGAAAATGTGTGGCTCTAAAATATCGCTTTTCTTTCACGTACAATAATTTATTTATATTATTGTTTTAAATTTTATATGAATGAATGTGATTGAAAGTAGGTTTGTTTTTGACTGAGTGTTGGGATTAATCTATGCATGTTCGATGATTTTTTTTAAACATTTGTTTGTTTGAAGAAAAACTTTTTTGTTGTGATTTTTTTATTAATTATTCTGTGCCTGGTTTAGTGAGCACGATTTTTTTTGCGCGTGTTTGGTTTATTTTATTTATTGACGTTTATTTATTAGAATGCTATTCACTTCACATTTAGCAAAAAGCGCTTGATGTTGAGCGATCCCAAATGAATTCATTTTACGGGGATAATGTGATAAAATAAAATTAGTGAAAATAAATTGACCATCGAAACTCTTTTTCAAACTGGGTTTTGTTTTGTTTGATTTGTGTGTTTGTGTGTTTGTGTGTGTGTCTATTTCACATTAATCGTTAAAAGTGTCTTTTTCACTTATTTTGCTTTTTTTGACGATATTCATAATTATCTTCATTGAGCCTGTAGCGGCAGTCAATTTTAGTATGTTTTTTTGTTGAAATTTATTAAAAGTGATGTAAGTTCATTGACAATATCTAGTCGAACGGTAGTGTAATTTCTTTATTTTGGATTTGTTTTTCGCGTAGTCTATCGTTCCAGTGCAAGAAGAAAAACGTTATTTATAATTTATGTGTCTCTCATATCGCACCACAAATTTCGATCAAATACATTTATCATCATATGGCGCTAAATTTAACACTAGATTTTTGTTTATGACGTAAGTTTCGTTATTTTTATTATTTTTTTTTTTTATTTTAAATGGCAGTCAGCTTTTTTAAAATGTTTTGAGTGCAGTTTTATTTATTTATTGGTTTCTAGTTGACGCACACTTTTGTTCAATAAACTCAACACTCTGATATATTCTCTATTTGTTCATTTTATTCCATGCTCAATTCCAAAACCATATTTGAAATTGGTATGAATTTGAGATTTTGTTTAACAATTGCATTCTCATTTTTTTATATAGTTTTTTAAACTTGATTTGCTTTTGTTCCTCTTAGTTCGGTATTTTTCTGAGTTCAAAATAAGCGCAATGTCACACGAAGTGTGTTTGATGATTGTGTTGTCGAACAGTTGGTTTTTAATGTGACGCGCATGTTGCACACATAATCATGACGACATTTTTGAACTTTGCATTGAATTGAGTTGGTTTTGATTTTGTGCTAGATTGGTCATGTCATTTGGCTCGCATTTGAACTGTCTGTATAGGTCTCTTTGCGCCGCCAAGACTTAGAGTTTATTTTGCGCGATTTTTTTGGTTAAGTTGAGACCAAAGTTCAGCGATCTACAATGTTGTATTTAAAGAGCTGCTAACTTTGTCCATTCCTCACTCTTTGTTCGATAGAGAAAAATGGCGAAGAGAAGAGAAAAAAAGCGTTTAAAAATTGTTGTTGTTGTGTTTTTTGTTTTGTTTTTAAAGTTGCAAAATAAAATTTTGGTGGTTTTCATTTCTGTCGTGCTTCGTTTAGAGGTGAGGCGAACGATTCTCAGACGTCAGCCGATCTTGATGTTGTGCTGGGTGAACGGGAATGTTGTATCACAACGCGATGGCCATTTTTCGTAACGAAACCATCACTTTCAACAAGCACAGCAGTTTGCCGTCCTTGGCTACCATTATCTCCATCTTTATCCTTTGATGGTGATGTATTGCCATCGTCGCAATCATTATCGGGCTCAAATTTTGCGTCTGTATTGATTGGAAAGGTCAAAGACTGCACGATTAATCCATCGAAAGTGAGTGTGAGTGATTGAATGTGAGTGAGAGATAGAGAAGCTTTTTGGACATTTATTCCCGATTACTTTGAAAGAGATTCTCAAGCATATAGGTAAGCATCAATTCAAAATTCAAATTGAATTCCAACCAACATTTTGTGTGTGTATGTGTGTTTGTATTGTATGTGTTATTTTTTGGTTTTTGTATATTTCAATTTCAAAGTAAACAAGAATGTTGTGCTCACTGTTTCTTTTATTTTTGGTTTTATCTATTCGGCAAGTAATATTTCTTACCGCTAGCTGCTGCCGCTGCCGCCACCGCCGCAGCAATACCGTTCATATTGTTCCCATCACTATTATCATTGTTATTTGAATTGGAATGTATATTGATGTTTCCATTACCACCACTAGCACCACTCGTTCCGCCACCACCACCACTAACACCACCGCCGCCGCCAGCATTATTTTGATCCACATCAGTTTCATCACCCGTTGCATAGGGTGTTTCTTTATGCAATTTGTGCTTGCGCCACGCATTTTGAATCAGCCGAGCACAGTATTCTTCGCGTTGACGCCAGAGAGTAGACGAAACAGGTTCGTAGCCTTCTTCTTCCGGCCGCGCCGCAATTTCGCCAAGTTCTCCGGTTTCCTCAATTGGATTACCTTTGCGTGCAAAGAAATCCTTTGTCAACGCGTCCAAAATATCCACGCAAAACATTAAATCGCCTCGACAAATTGGTATATCCATCGAGATGATTTTGTATTTATTCGGCTTGTGAATTTGTAACGGTGGCTCAAGCACATCAAGAAAATCAGACAATTGATCGTAGCGTATGTATTGTGTACCCTCTGGATCGAATTGCTGCCAAATTTCATAGTACATATCGTAATCATCATCGGTTAAACCCTCTTGCACATCTTCGGTGGCTTGTGAATAATTCTCCAAAATGACGGCAATATACATGTTGATGACAATCAAGAAACTGATCACCAAATACGACAGTAAAAATGTGATACCGATTGTCGATGAACCGCAATTTCCCGGATAGCCACGATCATTATCTGGTGGATTACAATCTTCCTCATTTATTATACCATCCAGCACACCATCCCATCCAGCTGAGGTAGACATCTACGATGGATCACAACATTTTATGATTTTATGTTCAAAATCAAATTCATATTTGAACAGTTGAAAAAATACTCACTTGAAACAATAGGATCATGCTCTGCGGGAACGTTTTAAAATTATATACATCGTCTAAACCGCTTTTGTCTTTGACATGCATAAAAAATGACATGCCGAATATAGCGAAAATAAACATCACGAGAAATAGTAGCAGACATATATTAAATAAGGCTGGCAGCGACATTGCCAAGGCAAACAGCAGCGTACGGATACCTTTAGCACCTTTAACCAAACGTAAAACGCGACCTACTTTAGCTACACGAACTACACGCAATAATGTTGGCGATACAAAATATTTTTCGATGAATTCGCTTAGTGCAAGACCTGTGAATAGAAAACGAAAAACAAATAAGAATCGGATGGTACATTCTCTCACTTTGGTTCATTAAAATACTTACTTAAAATGGACAATGTAACTACAACTAAATCAAAGAAATTCCATGGCTCGACAAAATAATGGTATCGAAGTGCGAAGATTTTTAATAAGCATTCACTGGTGAATATACAAATAAATATCATATTTAAATAATCTAAAACCATGCTAAATTGTTCTGTTTGTTGATAATGATCCATTGTCATGGTCAGCATATTAAAACCGATAAACAACATGATGACCATATCGAATTTTTTGTCGGTTACTATTTCGAACACTATTGCTTGCGGTCGCCACTAAAAAAATATACCAAAAAAATGGATACAAGTTAGAAGAAATGTGTGGATATGATAAGTATATAAGTGAATCTTACTCTAGGCCTTGGTATCGCTTTCATTGGTTTCTTTGAACCCATTTTTTTCATTGCATTATAGTATTTCTTCTGATCCTCAGTCATGAACATTTCTAATGAACCGCCTGCTTTTTTCTTTTGCTCATTAAAGTTATCGATAATCACACCAATGAATAGATTCAGCGTAAAGAATGATCCGAATATGATGAAGAATACAAAATACAAGTACATATAAATGTTTGTTTCACGAATCGGCTGCTTGTCAATCTGCAACAATAATAATAATAACAAAACGATAATCAATTGCATGCGTTTGGTTGAGATATATCGATCCGGAACATACATCACGTGAATCAATGGCATCATTCATAATTTGAATCCATCCTTTGAATGTAGCCACTTGAAATAGACACAAATACGCTTTGCCTACGTGGTCGAAATTCATCCGCGAATTTTCCCACGTATAATTTTCCGCTTCACATGTATTTCGATCCGGGATGATTTCGTGACTTAATGTAGTTTTATTACTATCGACACACTGTAAAATAAAATGTAAAATCATTTGATAATTTGGCCAAATTTGCATTATTTACTCATATAAAAATTGACGAGTTCATACCTTGAAATATTTTCCGGCAAAAAGCTGTACACCCATAATAGCGAAAATAAGCCAAAAGATTAAACACACCAACAATACGTTGAAGATGGACGGTATAGCTTGCACCAGTGCATTAACGACAACCTTGATTCGAACGAATGATTGAATTTTTACGATTTCTTAAGATTAGATAATTTGGATAAATTGTTATTAAACAAAACAAATGAAAAATAAAACAATTGAAAATAAAACGTGTTGCTAAAAAATTTAAGAAAAATGCTATATAAATTGTTTATTTCAATCCAAATAGAAAAATATATTTGAAATTAAGAATTACAAAGAATATCGAGAAAAAATTACAAACAATAATGTAAGACAATCATGCGTTGACTTTTTAAGTGTACAGATTAAACGTTCAATTTGCAAAGCTACGAGAAAACGACACCAAACAGATAAATATATAGGCGCTGAGAGATAGACACCAGTTTAAGCTAAATGAATGATTTCAAATGTTTTTGACTCTGAAAAATGTGAGCTGTCGTCATCTGGATATTACAGCTCATCTGGATATCGTCAGCAGATGATACGAAGTGAAAACAATAGAAGTGATTGTTATAGGTATATTAGCTTGTTATATAGTGGTATTACTATAACAATCACTATTGTTTTCATTTCGCATCATCTGCTGACGGCATCCAGATGAGCTGAAATATCCAGATGACGGCAGCTAAATATATTGTCTGAATGTGACACAAAAACTTAGATTATATATCTAGTTCTCGAAGCTTAAATCCGGTGTATTCTCTCTAGCATTTCAAAAATTTCAAACATTTCATAAAAAATTTAATCGACCTTGGAAATGACAATCGTAATAGCTTATGTTTGCCATGTTGCCTAGTTGCTATTATTTCCAAGGTCTTAAAATAACTTGATCAAAATCAAAAGAAAAATTAAAAAAAAACAACACCAAAATGTTAGATATATAGAAAACTTGCACAGTGAATTACGAACATTTTGTAGACAAAAAATGAATTCAAAGAATACACTATTGCTCTTACAGCCAATTAAGGGCTACTCTACTTTATGTCGACTATAGATAATTTGCTATATCAACAAGAAGAGCCGAACAAAGTGTTCCATAGTTTCATCATTTTAGTGTGTTTCTTGTGTAAATAGTCAACGAAAATGCATATATATCAGTTGTATATTGGCTCTTCTTGTTAAACATTTAAATAAAGCAAGTTGCAGTGTATAATAATCAACGATATTTGATTTTCATTGTTTACTATTAGTATTATTACCAAAAGCTAGTCTCTTCATACAATTTTCATCACGAAGAAAAAGTAATTAAATTACTCTCATTTGCACATACTATGTGCGTATTACTATTAACCATTCAAAATCAAATGTTATACATTGACATTTTTTTTTTGCACAATTACTTTCTATATGGTTCAAGTGTGCTGAGACAGCCGTAAAAGTAAACAAGCAAGCTTAAGTTTTGGTTTAAAGTTCTTTGAAAGTGTGTTTGTGAAATAAATTTGTGTAAAATTGGAAATTGGTTCAAGTGTATAATTGTCTTCCAAAAAAAACTGTGTGTATTATGTGTGGAATTCTATTGTTGAGCGTACATGTGTTTTTTTTTATAGTTTGCTAACGCTAACAATCAACATATTTTTTTAAATTTTAAATAAACATAGACTATACAAAAAATGTATCATTCATTTTCCAAAAATCAATGTATGTTTCTCTAACACAACCAGTACATTCCGATGTAAAGACGTCACTAAATATGATAATTGTAACGAGCCAAAAAACAGTAAAAATGGACGAGATATGCGATGCAAATAAGTTCTAGTGAAAATAGAGATGTTTAAAACAGTTTTGATTTGAAAGAAAGAAAAAAAAACGAATAAAATTGTGAATAAGTTTGCATAATCATAATAAGGGAAAATGTGTTGAAAGTATTTGAATCATTCTAAAGTAAAAACGTTCTAACACGTCTAGGAAAAATTAAAATTACGATGCACAATTTCGCGATGGAAATGTTATAAAAAGGATAAAAAGAAAACCAAACGAAATATGCTAAAGTTAAGTACTATTTTGGCTTAGATTTGATTTACGTACCCTCATGCCCTGCATACGGGACATGGCACGTAGCGGTCTCAGAGCTCGAAGCGTTCGCATTGTTTTGAACGCTTGAATGCCTCCGGCTCCACAAAGTGAAGCGACAAAGTTGATTAACGACACCTACGAACAATTCCAAAACATCAGAATAAATATGAATCGGCAAACAAACCATGACCTACGCATTGCACACAGATTTCTTTTTTTTTTGTTCGTTTCGTCGAAATCTTATCTGGTGGGGCTTTTCAATCACTTCAGAAGAAATGAAAAAAACAGATTGATCTTCCTTGTTTACATTTTTTTTTGCGTGTGTGTAGGGGCATCCTGGTATTTACATTTTGTTATTATCTTTAAACATGTTCGCACTCTAAATGTATATTTCGTTTTTACACACCAATTTGCACAATTTAATAATTTTGCAGATTTAATTTATCTGACATCGTGAGTTATGCAACGATGAAATGAAACAGTTTCGTTCAATATAACAACATTAAGCTGACAAAAGCGCAACAATTTAGGGGCAGATAGAAGAAGAAGTGAAATACATCGAAAGATTAACGTTGTTTGTTTTTTTTTTTTTTTTTTTTTTGTACAAAATAAAAGCGAAAGCATTTGAGATAAAGCGATTAAAGCAAAATAAAACACAACGAAAAAAATCATTTTAAAAGAAACAACGATTCCAAAAACATCGACGACAAACGTTTCAACTGAGGCGTACACTGACGTTTTCTGTACAAAATATATTTTTGTCCGTGTATATATATATATATTGAATATACTGAACGCAAATTATGCGTAAAACACACAATCACCACGGTTTGGCTATTACTAAAAAAAAACAACAAATGATTGAACGTAAAATTCGATGTAAATTGAGAGAAAGATACACACACAGAGAGAGTGAGTAGAGAAGGTGTGTGTGTGTGTGTCTGTTATCGCCGCGCGATACTTACTCGCATGCCTTCCCAGCGCGAAACGGCTCTCAAAGGACGCAGAGCGCGAAGAGTTCGCATCGAACGAAATGCCGGTATATCAGCGGCACCAGCCCATATAGCACCCAAATTTATCAAAGACAACTGATACATTTTCGATTCAATATAAGCGAAAGAAGAAAAATTATGAAATTATATTATTATTAAAAGTCCGTAAATGAAATCTGTGCCCATTTAAATATCTTCCTTTTCTCCCCAAAAAACGAACTTTTCTGCGGCCGCATTTTTATTGAATTGCTGTTGAGAATAACAAACGGTGCATTAAACAAAACATAAAACACTTACCATAACAATGACGAAATCAAGCCAGCACCAAGCATTATTGAAGTATGCTTTAAAACCGAGCGCAACCCACTTGATTAACATCTCCAAGAAGAATATCACGGTGAATATGCGATCCATGTAATACAGAATATCTTGTAGAATCGGTCGTTGAGGTAGATGAACATCTTCAAGTGCCTTTAAGTGGTTCAAATTGATTTTAAATGGTACTTTTAAATATACACACACCGTATCAATACAAAAACAATAAAAAAATTGTTACAAATGAAGGAGACTTACTAAAGCCATACTACTCAGTAAAATCATTGTGATGACGGCCGTTTCGAAGTACTTATTTTCGATTAAACGAAATGTTTTCAGACGTAAATTGCCCCATCCTTGCCAAAATGGTGAGTCTTCGTCACCGGCAAATATTGGGAATTTCGTGTAACACGATTCTGGTAAGCAGTCTATTGGTCCTTCTTCTATAAGTTCATCTTCTTCTGCATGTATCACATCCACACCATCATCACCGAGACTCTCTTCTCCTTCAATATCGTCATCTAAATCTATCAAAACGGTTGCAAAATCAAATATTGAAAATAGCAACGGCGAAAAAAAGGTGACATTCAGTCGCTAATCATACCGCGTTCCATGTCCATACGCTCCTCTTTGCTTGCATCGCGTTTCTCTTCTCCGTCCAATGTTTCAGCGCTACCTTTGTGACTTTCATCTTTGAACATACGGTTTTTATGGCTCCCGTATGATTTAATGCTAGCCGTATCGTCGTCCTGCAAGGACATACCTCTATGATTTAATTCATGAACTAATCTATTGTCATGATGATTTATCGAATTTCCAATCATCTGGAGAGTGTGTGGAGAGTGATAGAGAGTGGTGATAGAGTTGGATGTTCAACACAAACAAAACACAAACAATAATAAAAAATAAATAAATCGATTCAGTTCATTGTTGTAAATCGAATAGTTTTTTTTTGCTTTTTTTTATTGTTTTGAAATTAAACAAATAAATAAATTGGAACGTTTTTCATATATTTTCTTTTTTTTTGAACGAAAATTTAATTTAGCTTTGTGTTTTCTCTTTTTTGTTGTTAAATTACATCGCAAATATGAAATGTTAGATTTTGTTATATTACCTTGGCATTGTTCAGAAGTGTTTTAGTCTTTTTATTTTTGGATTTGAGATCGCCGTGAATGGTGAATTCCATGCCATCGCCAATGGCCACTTCGAGTTCGCTTTGGTTTTTGATACCTTTTTTTATGAGACCGTCCACCAGGATGTCGTCGGGTCCTAACTCGAGTTCATTATCACCATGTTCTGTTGACATACAACCACATATCCCCTTGCCTATCTCGTCGTTTTCGCAACAACATGTTCGTTTTGTTGTGTTTGTTTTTGTTTGTTTGTTTTCATTTTTTTTCAGTTTTCCAAACGCCATTCCATTCGTTAAAATTTATGTTTCGATTTTCGTATTAAGCCGATTCGAGTATATCCAAAACGCGATTCGATTTATCAAGCAAATGGATTTTTGGTTTTAAAAGATTAAAAAAAAAATATAATGTGTCAATGGATTAATTCACGATATTCCGAATTTGATAGTGCACCATTTGTAATTTACCATATAACAACGATTCACAACAACGAGATACAAATTAAACAAAATAAATGAACCAAATTTATTTTTTAATCAAAAATATCGAATTGTGTTAATAAAATACCAACAAATAAATCATATCAAATTTTAACCAAAATTACGTTTATCGTGAAGAACGAAAAAAGGGATAGAGACAAATAGTGGTTATCATTTGATCACACATGTAAATTTCTACATATATTTTGTTTACAACAAGAACGAAAAAACGTTTGGAAAATCATGACGAACATACAGACATCAAGACACAAATTACGACGGCGAACAACGACTAAACGGCTACTTTAAGTACACGATGAAATATTCGCTGATTCGTTACCTAGTTATTTTACTCATTTTCACGATGTCAGCGAATATTTTATCGTCGATAGATTAACAAACACAGGGGGCGACAAAAAGTACCCATCTTACATAGAAAATCATTCATTTTGTTTTTACAATAAAACAAATAAAATATTTATGAATGATGGTTAGTGGTTAATATGCCTTTGACATTTGACATATATATATATTTTTTTAATTTCATGGAAAATTACTGGCTTAAAAATCGAATTAAAAATTATAAAATTATACTCTATTGTAAATCTCTCACTACTGCATGAGATGAAAACAAAGTGAATGAAATGTGCCGCATTCAAATCATAGAGAAATTAATAATGATGCAAAATAAAAAGTGTGCCATTTATTAGGTGCGACAAAAACGTATGATGAATTTCGACTTTTCAAAAAAACGAATAAAATATTTTTGCCACATGAAAATAATTTAATAATATTTTACACTGAATATTGTAGTAAAATGCAAAATATAATGTTCGTTTTTTGAATACACATTCAAGAATGTTAAACACAAAAAATTACTAAACACCAATTAATAAAATAAATAAAAGATGTATAACAATTTCAGTGCGTATGCATTTATGCATCACAGAACGAAATTCGAAAATTCTTCTGAAATAGTTATGTTTGTTCTGTCTTTGATGTGATAAATGCAGACGTGTGATTAATAATTTAAACTAAAAAGATACACATGTGAAGCGTCAGAACACAAAATCCAATTTTATTTAATTTAAACTACAAACAGTTTTTTTTATTTTGAGTATGAATTGAAGAAAGGTCAAATCCACTGTTCAACTAGTTAAAATTTTCTAAAAAAAAAATTCTGCGCGTTCAAGATCTCTTTATTTATCCCGTTTGTTTGATTGCGTTTTATGAACAATTTTCGAATCGTATTGCACTCAATGCTCTTGATTGTGGAAACGGTTATTAAAAGTAACGAAAAAAGACAACAACTCGAAGAATTCGTAAGAGAAGAATAAAGAATAAAAAAAAAAAAACAATTGTACGAAACTGAAACAAACCAATTAGAAGTTTTTTTTAGAGGGAAAATGTTATGCTGTGAATTCGACACGAAAGTTTATTTCATATTCAAAATTCACTTTGGTGTACACAAAAGATTTGGTGTGATCGAAGTTGCAATTCAACTTAAAAAAAAAAAAACTAAATGAAACGAGAGAGTTGAGAGGATAGAATTGCATGAAATTGGGAAAGCGGCCAAATATTAGTAGTGATAGTAACAGAAAAAAAAACGATCTTCTCAAATGAAATGAGAGCGACTCTACGGGGAGCGTAAAAATGAACAAACACAAAAAGAAAAAAAAAATCAGATAGAAAATAAATGGTAGAAAACGATTGAGGTAGACAAAAGAATAAAATCAAAAATGAATAGAAAACCGAAAAGTTGTGTTACTTTTGTTTGGTATTTTGGGTTAACTTGGATCGAGCTGAAAGCAATTTGATAAGCTGCGAATTGATTTTGTTCAACGAATTTGTTTTGTTTTTTTTTATTGATTTGATTTTTTTTTTAGAGAGATAGAGATATATTGCGATATGTAATTGATACAAAAGAGGGGAACTTATAGAAAAATGATAAATAGTAGTAACAAGTGGATAAAAACCTTCATTCCATATCCAACTGTTGTGATGTGTCCGCTCACCTGGCTGATCGCTGATTTGATTTGTTAGCTTATTTTTTATAGATTTAAGTGCATTGCATATGCCTTGTTTAATCCAACGCTGAAATCGACCGATACGATTGAATGCTTCAAATATTTTATTTGTATCTTGATCGGCAGCCGGCGCTGATAAACTTGATGAACCGAAATTACTCAAAAGCAAGGCCAAGAAAAGATTGAGAACCTAGATTTTAAATGTGAATCCATTGATTGTATATTATTTTTCATATAGATTTTACATATTGAATGGCATCAAATATACGTACGACTAAATTGCCAATGACAACGGTGGCTAGAAAAAATGGGATACATGAAACGTCACCGACTAACATACAGTCCCACATTGATTCGATCCATTCTCCGCACAATACACGAAACACAATCATAAATGAATGCATAAAATCCGTGAAATTCCATCGGGGCATGTCACCGTCCGGAAATAAAAATACACGATCTGAAAACATTTTTACTCATTTTAGTTTTGCTTGTATTTTCTTTATCGAAAATGTATACACAATGAAAGCATGCCACTCATCAATGTTGACTCATATCATACACATATACACAATTTCAATAATTAAATCTTAATGTAAAAAAATGTTTCCACTCATTCAATTAATGTGTGCATCAAATGAGCCAACATATGCTTGAAAGCGAGTCACAAGCGATTACTCAACATACAAAAATAAATTGTGAACAAAAATAGTTGGGATAAGTGCCAAGACAAGTAATAGTAGAGAGAAAAGTGCATTTTTTAAAAAAGATTCAATCGTGAAACTTATGGAATAAGTTGTAATATGTTAATAGAAATTTTGTGAGAAAAAAAATGCTCAAATGCTTTTAGTTTCAAATATTTTTGGTTTTGTAATTCAGGGACTGCTTTGCAAAGGAGTAAAAATGATTGAAAACCGAAGAAAAGGTTTTTGACGAGGACTTTTCATCCCCTTAGTAATGAGTAAAAATAAATTCGTTTACTCATTACGTTTCATTCTTTTCTACACAATTTACTCCTGGAAGGAGTAGTTCTCGGCGTTAGTCCAATGATTTAATGCTTCTAATAATATTAAAATAAAGAAGAGACGAATACCCAATTGTTAAGAGAGAAAGAAAACGGTACTTATTCCACAAAGACATGATCACAATGATGACTTCGAAACACACACACATAGAGAAATAGAGAGAAAGGTCGCTTGACTTTCAAATACTTACCGACGTAGTTTTTTCCAAATAGTTGCATTCCCATTACGGCAAATATGAAGATAATAATGCACAATACAAAGGTCAAATTACCTAAAGCGCCCATCGTTCGGCCCATAATCGAAATTAATAAATTCAATGTTGGCCACGATTTGGCCAATTTGAATACTCGAAGCTATATAATTTAGAGCATTTAAATAACATGACAAATCCCCAAAGACAAATGAAAGAAAAAGGGAGAGAGAAAGAAGAAAAAAAGCGAAATGTGTTTAACAATTGCGAAACGAAAAAACAAATGGTTAGCTGCAATGTGTTTGTAAGATATAGTAAGTTGGTGAGATTCATGTGATAGAGTTTATCCGATGTGATTTATTGAGTAGTATTACGAGTTCCATCTAAAAAGCGGATGCGGCGAGCTATTTAAAATAGCATATTTTTTTCAAAGTTAAAAAGAAAAATTGATTACACAAAGATTAAAAAAAAATGTAAAGGGAAAAAAATCTGCGAGTATAAATTGCATATTGAGCGTTTTGAGGTTGTTTTGTGGTGGCAATGGTTGTGTTCATCATTATTTCGTTGCATCATAGCGATGTACCTGTGTAATTTTTGCCAAATAATTGCATTCCCATGACGGCAAAGATGAATATAATGATGCACAACACAAATGTTAGATTTCCTAAGGCGCCAACCGTTCGGCCCATAATCGATATCAATAAATTCAGCGTTGGCCACGATTTTGCTAATTTAAACACTCGCAACTACACCAGAAATTGAAGAAAATGAGACAGATATTTGGGTCGGAACAGATCCGTTTTTTTTTGTATGTATTTCGTTTTATTGAAAAGATCCGACATCTTTTCCACACACACACATTATGAAACTCTTCAACTGACAAAAACTGTATGTAACCTTGTTGAATTCATTGAGCTTTTTTAAAATATATACTCACCAAACGGAATGATCGTAATACAGACAATCCTTGTACACCTTCCAGTCCGAGCTCAACCAATGATAGTGCAACAATTATAAAATCGAATATATTCCAACCGACTTGGAAATAGTATTTGGGACTCATTGCGCAGAGTTTCATCGTTGCTTCGATGGCAAATGTTGCCGTAAAAAACTGCAAGGAAATGAAAAACAATTGATCGAATTTCGAATCGAATGAGCCAACCAAATTTATATTGATATACTTACATAATTGCCAGTTTTCAAGATTCTCTCTATATTACGATTCATGTCGTGATGATCAAGTGCCATGAACAATGTGTTTATTACGATACACAATGTGATAAATAATTCTACGAACGGATCAAATACGATGAATGAAATCCAACTTTGAAGTTTTAACCATGGCGCACAACAATCCCATACGCAAAACATGTCAATCATTCTCATTGAAAATGCTGTTAATTTCTCTTTGAACGTTGGACCATCGTCGTCATCATCATCGTCTTCTGTTGGAAAATAGTAGACAGAAACTGAACAAAACAGGGTGATCCAAATTAGTAGTGACTTTGACCCAACTGTTTTTTCTTCTTTTTTTTGGTAGATATGTTTCAAAAATTGTTCCACTGGGGAAAAAGAGGTTTTTTCTTAATTTTGCTTTGCCGGCTTGTTGCTTGCTGTCACTAATACATGATATGATTGGTGCGTGTTTTGTTTTTGAATTTTTTCGATGAAATGAAACATTGGCGCATATACATTTTTTGTCATCAGAGATTTTTTTTGATTTTGTATAACGCACAAATGATAATTGTGATTTTAATGTAACATATGTGCTAAAATGCAACGATTTTTCAAATTGAATTAAGTGTTTCATGTGTGGCCAACAAAAAAACATCTCACATATTCGGCCTTACATTTTGAAAGTCAGTCTCTTGGCTCGAAATGGTAGTTACTTTATGTGAAACCCAATTAAAACTCAAACTATTCGCTTAACTCAATAACACAATAATTCTTTGTATGAAATTTTACACAGTACAACACGTCTTCTTAATCAAGATAGTTAACCATCTGGCCATTATTTTTGTTTTGCTAACGCTATAACAATTACAACAAAGTTAGATAACTTTGTTTGCACGGGAGACATTGTTGAAGCATATGTCCATATTTGATTTATGGGAATATTGGAAACAACATCATTGTTTACTTTTGGACTAACTTTGATGTTTGAATACACGAGGTAAAAGTTTTTTCCATTTTTTGGGAACAAACAAATATTTTTGTTGGTTTAGGTATTTTGAAATAGAAAAATTCCAAATTCAATTTTTTTTCTTCTTAGTGTCTATATTGCAAGAGACAATGTTTGTAACGTTCCATTAAAATTGATCATTTGTGGAAGCGGTTCACGCCTTTTACCACATTAAATGGATGGATAGATGATTGAAATTGACATCGATGGTTAATTATACCATTTGGCAATTATTGTTACGATGTCAGTTACGATGCCTACTGTGATTTGCAGATCGATTATTATGCAAACAACAAACTAAAGCGTATTCGGCGTCGGCAAGTCCATAAATTTGTACATAAATAAAAAAAATAGTTTGAGTAAATATAAAATTAGCTTAAAATACAAATCGAATTCATTTAAGGAGAAATTTAAATTGACCATGATATAACAATGCCAATAAATTCATGCATTATATTCATGCGTTCATTATAAAAAATGGTAAAAATATGTAAACAGAAATTGAAAATGCCTTTTAGTTCCGTGCAAAGCTTAACAATAGATAAAGTAAAATGTGAAAGAATGAAGCATGCAAAGAAAAAAAAACACACAAAACGCCATTTAAGATTCACTAGCATACCATACTCTGACAGATACTTGATTATTTTTGGGGCAACTTCCTACATAATAGATTCACAAAAAAATGCTTTGATGTTTGATAAGTTTTGATCCGAATTTAATATTTCGTCAAGAATAAACATCTTCAATGTTTTGAAGGTAAAAGAAATTTCGACAAAATTGTATACAGTCTCAGAGTATGATGTGTTTCGTGTATATATATATATATTTCTTGATCAAACAAACCCAAAATGTGTGTAATATCAAAAAAATGGAGTATGTTACAATTGGCTTAATAAGATACTGAATCGAAAATATAAAGAGAGAAAAAAAAACACACAAGAGGTGGGAAATATGAATATAAAGAAAACTTGAATGAAAAGAACACACAAAAGAAAATTCTTCTTTGATTCTTCCTTTTTGAAATGTTCAGAGCGAGAAGTGTGCACTTCGAATGATAACTGTGAAATTGTGTGTTTTGTGTGTTGTGTCTGTGTGAAAGAGAGCGAGAGCGAGAAAGTGTATGTGTGAGTGTAGAAGGTAAGGGATTAAATACCTCTCTTTCCCCTCCGAACGCAAACGCGTATTTACGATTATATGCATTTCCGGGATTTTACTTACAAAACAACGCAACAATATTCGTGCGAATTTTCATTTAATTCTTTTCTTTTTGCTTTGTTTTATGTACAAAATAGAAAATAGACGAAAGAAATACAGAGAAACAATGAACAAATCGAAAATTCTCTACAAAAGAGAGAGAGAGAGTGAGTGAGTGAGAAAAAAAATTGACACGGAAAAAAGAAAGAAAGAAACAGATGAGTCACACAAGGATAATAATTTGGTTTTTTTAATTCTAGTACAAATACTCAAAGGGTGACAGAGAGATATGTGAGAAGGGAGAGAAAGAGAGAAAAAGTGTGTATATGTGTGTAACAACTAAAATAGGTCAAGAATTTTTCTCGACGCTTCGTTCTGCAATGGGAATCAAGAGGGACATTTTTTTCGTCTGTCTAGCTCTCTGTTTTCTCAACATACGTATATGAAAGCAGATATCATTTGAACAAATGGTCGAATGTCGGCACGCTTGTTTATGACTTTTTAATGATATTGGATGTATATCGCATTTGATTTGCAACTTTTCGACCAATAATTCTCAGTCTCCAAGGCAATTTACAAATCAATTTTACTTCGCTTATACAGCTCTGATTTAATTTTTTGAAGTCTTCGTTCATGAAATTGTACTTTTTTGTTCGATACCTTGTACAACAAAAACATTCGGTTATTAAATTAATAATAAAAGAAAATATTAATATATTTTTAATTTAAAAAAAAAATGTAAAAACTGAAAACATTCCAGAAAAGTTGAGAAAAATATTTCACAAAAATTACTTCAAAAACAAAAATTCATTCCAAATTTAGTTTTTTTTTTAACATACAAATTTTTTTGGGGAGGAAAGTTAAAAACCAAAAAAGAAAAAAAACATTAAAAGTAGCTCATCACTGAATTCAATTCACTATGACCATAGAGCTATTTTTGTCCATTTTATATTCTAAACTATTTTACAAAAAGATACGGACATCACAAAGTAGAAAGCATTTTCTAGATAAAAAGATATATAGAGAGAGAAAGGAAAATAAAAACTCAAAAAAAAAAAATTTGTTTGAGAAGTCGTTTCAAGATCGTCGCTCTTCAAACAATATTTCCGCTATATATGTATATATTTATAAAGAACACAAGAAAGATAATCTAAAAAGGAATGAAAATAACAGATTATTGAATATATATGTATATAAATAAGACTACGACATTTAGAAGAGATCTAAAGAAGAAAGTCACAATTTAGCTTTAAAAAAAGAGGGAGGTGGCGACAACATTCTGTACATTCTATACATTGTTTGGAGTTTAACGTTGATTCATGGGGTTGCTGTAGAAGCTGACAGGTAAGTACTTACCACCTTGATCACCTTCACGACTTTGTCTACCGGCAGCTTGTTCAATGATGTCATTCAAAACCATCACATCTATAAAAAAAAAAAATGCCTATAAATACGTCACCGTAAAATGCGTCAATTTTATTGAACCAAAAATTACCTTTCATATCTACAACAGTTTGCCCATGGACGGGTTCAATAAACGGATTGTCGTTACTATGTTTTATTTTACCAGCCTCATCAGTATAATCTGATCCATGATCCTGCAAGCGTATTGATAGAATTGTTATAACTCAATATCCATTTTTAAAATTGAATTGATGAAATTGGCGGTATCTTACGTAGTCTCGATGACCTTTGTGATTGATATCGGTGTATGGACCGGCAAATGGTTGTTGCGTAACTACTGATTGATTTCGTGATCTATGTCTAAGTTTTTGTTCTTTAGTTCCTAGTAAATCACCGTGCGATGTGTATGATATGCGAGACTGATGTGATGTATATGATGAATGTCTTGATCCTAAAATACCTGACATTTTTTAATAGAACGACCACAGTCAACAAATATATTTCACTCGTACACTTCACGACAAAAGAAAATGGCAGTGACAAAGAGAAAGTCCACTGATTTTTTTTTTAAATCACTTACCCATATTTGTGTAGTAAACTGGAACAATGATGGCCCCATTTTCTTCGGACATTGGAGTAACCGCATTTGAATCATCAGCATATGGTAAATGTTCCTGTGCATCCAAATACGTCGATAGTACCAATGGTTTACGATCACTACCTGGTATACCAAAACGACCGCGACCATTTCGAATCGTGAACTATTTTGGATTTCACATAAAATGAAAGATTTACAGTTTTCAGTTCCCGGTCGCAAAATGTTCTAAAGCTCATGTAAATGGCAACGAGTCAAAGAGATACAACAGTAAATGTTTGTTCTTTGGAAATAAAAAAATTTGTAATTCTATTTAGTTTCATCTCTTTGCTATGTTCATGTTACATGAACTTTATAAACATCGTAAGTGGGTGTGTTGCAAATTAATGTTAAAATGTTTTTGTTTATTTTTCGAATGTATGTTTACGTTTTGATTTGAATTTCAAATAAATAAAAGTTTCTTTTTGTTTCTTGAGACTTATATGTATAAATATATTTTTTTTTTGCAAAGAATTCAAATAATGTGTGTCTCGATAAAATCTATATCGATGCTCTAAGTTAAGTTTTAGACAGCCTTATAACATACATCGCATTCCTTAGTGTGCTCATTAATTGTAAATCGTTTTAGCTGTACTATATAGTCAGAAGAGCATTCGTGCAACACTAACATTGAGTACATAAAACCGATTAGTAGCAGTTACACAACAAAGTCTTCAACAGAAATTGATACTTAGTTTGATATTCTATTTGATTTCGACGTAAAACAGAGACTTAATTTTCTGAATGGAACGATTTAAATGTATAATTTATGGAAAGCATATTTGATTCAATTCATGTTCTGGTTCTTAATTGAATGATCGATGCAAATAGATATGGAAATTGTGTGTTGTTCAACGAAGATGCTTTGATTGTGTCCATTGAAAATTTAGAATGAATAATTTAGTAAGTATTTTCATTGTGTTTAGTACCTGGTGCGAACCGCGTGAACCTCTTCGAATATTGAACGGTGAACCGGGTAAAGACAGCGATGTCTAAAGGACAATTAGAAAATACTCAGTTTTAATTTCGTGTTGATGTTTGCATCACTCTGATAAAATTAATTTTATATACATGATTCCTTAGATAGAAAACGAACTCGAATGCTTCGACCTACTCGGATCCGGGTTCGAGTTAATTTTTCATGACCAACTATGAAATTATATGTATTTTTTTTTCCATAAATATTCGCATGAAATATATATTCATGGAGAATATATGGCATTCATGTTAAAAAAAATTATGGCAAAGAACCTACCTTTCGATTTTTTGAACTGATTTAAACGAGCCCAAAACAATTGAAAAAAAAAGAAAACTAAATTGAAAGCTATAGAATTTCAAAATAGAAAAAAAAATCAAACGAAAAAGGCACACGAAAAGAAAAAGTGGGAATACTTCTAAAGCTTTTTTTTTTGTTATTATTATTTATTTACACAAGAAGCAGTAAAATTGAAATGTTCAAGCTATAAATTTTGATGGGTTTCGTATCAATGAATACAAGTTCAAAAATGAATGAATGACAAGATGAATTAAGATGATAGGAATTTAAATGATTTTGACCAAAGACCTTGTTTAGTAAATGGAAAATATAACGAAACATTCACAAAAAAAACTATAACATCGTTGATGTCGAATTAAAAAAAAAAACAGTTCATTTCAATGGTAATGATATGAAAATTCTTAGCCACAAATTTCCAATCAATAAATGATACTCCTTCTGCTAAGAACAGACTTTGTGCCATCGTATGGGAGGAAAATATCGAAACGAATGTAATCAAAAGCCTTATACAAATCAATGATTAATTTGAATGAAGTTTAATATCTAAAACTAACGAAGCTTAACTTGAACCAAACGGTCGCCGTTCTTTGCATATTCATTTCATAATTGGTCATAAATGTTTCCAAAGCGCTCGAGCCGTTTTATGTATGTACGCGCGTCGCAAATGAATGAGAAAAAACGTAATGCATTTTGATGGATGGATTTCGAAAATGGACTATACATTCAGTTAAATATATATACTATATGTGTCTTATGTATCAATTAATGACGGGTTGAAGGCGATTTTACTTCACAGATGAATTCACACACAAACAAAAACTATACTAAAACACACAGAATGTCTATATATGGAATTCAATGGCTTTTTTTTGACGCATCGATTTCTTACTTGGAGGATCGAACAGCAACAATAACAACAACAATAGAAAATTGAAAATAATATATCACCAAATCAATTAAAATCCAAACAAACTCAAACACAAAACAATATTTCAATCGATATATAGATAGAATAAGCAGCAAAGCAAAAGTTAAATATTAAACCAATAAACTTTTGAAAATTGACTTTTAATCGGACATTCAAAATATTTATCATAGATAACTGAACTTTTGCTATGCATACATGCGGAAATGGAGAAGTACAGATGTGAAATGAACTATTTATTTAAATGATTATCATATTATGATATATTCCTATGAATAATTTATTATTAAGTGTGAATCATGCATCGCTATTAAACTTTTATAGTCACACTTTTCAACTGAAAATTCATAAAATGGAAATTAAGTTTTTCAAACCAAGCGGTGTGGGACATGCACTATCGTACATAAATTAAGATTGATAGAACAGTCTATGTAATTTTGTATGTATAGCTGTGGAGATTCTTCTTTTGTATTCGGCGTAAATTAAAGTTTCAACTAGAAACTAGGAACAATTTAATGGAAAATGCATGTTTTAATCTTCTTCTTTTCTATGAAAAAAGTTGAACATTTCTTCCGAAACAAGTTCAATTTTCGGTACAACAAGAGCGGTTAGTTGAATTCAATGCTATCAAGTTTGAACTCATTTGGATGAATTCCCAGCGTAAATGAACTTTTAAAAATCACAAGTGAATTTGAATCAAGCGGAATTACAAAAATGCGGTGGTTGAAATGTTGTGGTGAAACTTTTGTGATGATTTCGCTTCGGGTTATAAGTTAAATGATATGAACATAATCGCTTCAAAGACAAAATATATTTCAATTATGCTAATTAATCGTTGACTGAAGCAGAAAGTGTTTAATGAATTATGAGGACCATGGACCATAGTCTTGTTATTTACCATTATACACAACTGATCTAAATAACCATTTTCAGTGATCTAACCATCACTTCTGCGGTAAATAACTTTGTCTAGATATTTGAGACACGCCACTTTGACGAGAATTTTATGCACAATACAACGATATCGCAATTAATTATTAAAATTCCTACGGGTGTCCAAATACTAATTATATTTATTACCTCTCAGTGGAAACTAGAAACCATTCAATATACAACTATCGTTTTTTTAATTTGCTACATATTTTTTTCGTAATGAAATCGAAGCAATCGAATTGAAATATTTTTTTTCTCCCTAATATAATCCGTTTAAATCCGTGGCACAATAAAAAAAGTGATTTCAGTGCATAGAGGCCAGAGTTCTGTATGCTAATAATATTCTATATCGAGAGCATCGCAATGACGGAGTCCAAATTATAGAGCCTATTGTATCGTAATATACAAAAAAAAAAATTCAAAACTACCAATTGATCTCGTATTTTTCGACGATGAAAATGCTTTCTGCATCCAACTGTGTAATTCATTAAACCATTGAATTGCAAATGAAACGGATTGGCAACGAAAAAAGCACAACGAACGCTTTAATTTATTTGCAGCGTTTTGTGCTATGATTTATGTTGACTGGCAATTGAATCAATGACTTTTAATATGAATTTTTGTTCACTCTTCTGGTTTTAATTAGGCCACCACAATGCATATTCAATATGATGAAATTTAAAAAGAGAATGACTACTTCGATTCGAAAATCAATCGTATTTCTCTCTGGTTTGCCATTGAGTAATGCAAATAAATTGAATGTGAACCGTGTAACCATATTTCAAGTGGTTGCGTTTTGATGACTGAAGCGATTTTTTGTGTGTGTTCATATCATTTTACCGATGGAGAAATCATTGATAGCAGATGTATAGAACGAAAGGAAATTTGCATGATATTAAAAAAAGTCAGCTTGAATAGATAAATGGAATTTCCGATGGAGAAGCAGCGGAAATGAATCGATGTAAATATTTGTGTGGTCGAATTGATGCCTTTTTTATGTGCGGAAGAAATAGAGGAATTTATTCTCAATATAATAAAATAGTAGTGGTACAACGAAAATTGCGTGACAAGCAGGAAATAGAAACGGGAAAATGTCAGTCCAATCAATTCAAATCGATTCGAATACGAATCGATTGGTCTCGCGATATTGTCAAACACCCCACAAAAGGCTCCGAGTTGTATGATTTTTATTTAATACTGAAAGATGAAAATGGTCGCACGTGTAAATTGTTGTGCGTGAACTGACGATTGGACGACATTTTTCATTCTCAATGGTAACATGTTATGTTGAATGTGGACAGCACCTTGAATGAAGTGTGCGCTTATATCACAGTGCGTGTTTGTAATGTGTATATATTTACATGTGTAAATGTATGTGTATATGTGTGTTTTTGAATCGAGGAAATGGTGCATGCAGTAGCATTCATATAGCCATACTTACCGTGCTGACTTTGCGAACCTTGGACGCCATTGTGCCGGCTGATGGTGCAGTTGGTCTTTGCATTTCGCTCACCGACTCCAATCCTTCGCTACGGATTGACATTTTCTCCTTGTTGTTGTCATCGTTTCCTTTCTCTTGGCCAACGAACAATTCGTAACTATGACATGAAAAATCCGATGGACTCTTTGCCATTTCCGGGTGAGCTGCAGCTTCGGCCGCCGCAACTGCAGCGGCTGCTGCATTCGCTGCTGCCGCTGCATGCGCTTCAATTTTCGCCTGTTTTGCTACTGCTGCCTGTTCAGCTTCCTACACATTTTTATATATAAAAACAAAAAAATGGCTTAATAAATATTGTATATGATAATAGCAAATGAAATGTACATTTTTGATTTAAACTTCCGATTTCTAAAAATTCTCATCGAAAAATGTCCATTGTGACGCACGCGATTCAAATTATGCTATCTTCAATCGTCAATACTAAAAATACATTTCGAACTTTCGATGACATTTGCACTTAATTTACGTGTACAATCTACATCCTTTTGAAGCGGTCGTATCGTTGATTTTATCGATTTCATATAAAATTTTAATGTATTCTCAAGCACTAAGGAATGTTCTCGAAGTGAACGTAGTCGTTAAATGTATTCATTAATTATTATTGAAGTCTTGGATAAATGATTCTTAACTCATTCAACCGTTTTGATGAAAAAAAAAAAATTCGTTTTATCGATTGATGAATAGTTTTAAGTTTTTTTAGAATTCGGTTCTAAACCGAAAGGATCGAACTTTGTTTTTTGGCATTTTTATTTGAAATGCAAAAGTTATGAAACTTATGTCTTGTGACTTTAAAAATACATGAGTTATTAAAATATATAAGCGTTTTCTACATTTAATTAATTGATTAGTGTTAAAAATAATTTAATTGAAACTTACTCTAAGCGCTTCCTCTTCGGCTGCCTCTTCTTCTTCGGCTTTCTTTTGGAGTTCATCGTATGACATGGCGACAATAGCCAAGATCAAATTAACGAGATAGAACGAACCAAGAAATATGATAACGATGAAGAAAAGCATGTGCCACGGTCCGGCAGATCTTAACACTAATTGGTACAAATTCTCCCAGTAATCTTGTGTCATCAGACGAAAAGCGGATAAAAACGCCCAACCGAATGTATCAAAACTGGTGTAGCCATAGTTTGGATTCTTTCCGAAGCCTTGCAAACAGAAATATCCTTCAGGGCATGTTCCGGCACCCGATGAATTACCACATAGTGGATATTCCAGTGCACCTTCCTCTTTAAACCAGTTTGCTGTTTAGATGGCAAAATAAAAACGAGAAAAAAACACAATCAAAAGTCACTTTTCTGTACAAACATTAATAGCAATTTCAGAAGACTCTAATTCTAAGAAAAATTCTTTCCTAATTCGACTATAAATGTTTTATGTAAAATTCCGCTAAGCGGATATTCTAAATGATTCTATCGAAAAAAGTCTACTTAACTTTTCTGAAAAGGAAAATACACACAAATATTTCGTTTCTTTTTTTATCTTGACATCGTAATATATAGTATTAAATCATCAAAATATGTTGTGTTCTTACAGAACAATATGTACTTACTGTCGTTTTTCATAAAATTATCCCAATTTTCATCGGTTAAATTGCCCCATGAGCCATCCAATGGAAATTGGCGAATGCATTTTTGCGTTAGCACGCCCATGTAAATTTGCAGGCCCATCAAAGCGAATACCGATAACGAAAACATCGTTAAAATTATCACATCGCGCAGATTTTTTACCGATTCAATGACAGCACCAACGATGGTCTTCAAACCCGGTACAATGGCAACAGTTTTCAAGGCACGCAGTACACGAAATGTACGCAACGCCGCTAAATTACCCAAATCGATTCCCATTGTCACATAGCTGTCGTCGATTGATTTATATGACGATAATCACAGACGAGTTGAAATAGTGTGCACCCCAAAAAAATTTGAAAAGTAAATTCAAAATCATACAAATGTTTGTTTTTTTTCGTCAAATAAATGTGATTGATGTGTGAATGAAAAGAAAATGAACCAAAAAATTAAAAAAACGTAAATGAAAATCAGAATGTAAACGATAACAACCTTTCCGTTTGACTCACTCCTATGTTCCCTATAAACCGTATTGACCTCGTCTAACATTGCGCCTCTTCACGAAATACTACTATGGCTTGTGTGTGACTTGTAATTTATGTCAAGAAGCGATTTTCTAGTCAAGACAGATGCCATTAGAGTTAAATATGAATAAAACACGTTTCAAATGATAACTTTTGAATAGCATTGAAATGCGTCGTTGACCAACGTTTTAACCACTGGATGCAAGTGTTAAAAATGTGCTTCATGGAGTGAAAAGTTAGTTTTTGAATAAAAAACAAAATGGAAAAGAAAAAAACAACCACCAACACCACCAACAAGAAGAGATTCGTCTGAATTGTCGATGTCAGCCATTCACTTGTTTTGTATGCATTTCTTTTCAAAATTTTATATTTCAATGAGTTCTGACATTTCCTCCGTTGCATTGTCAGCGCTTTTATTCGCGTCGCAATGAAAACCATACTATTTACAAGACTTTTACTTCCCATTATTTGTTTCATCAAACATTTTGTATATTTCCTTGGTTCGCAAAACGGCAGCGAATCGGAAAGATAGATACACATACAAAATCCACAGCATTAGAGAAATGAAAGAAGTGAGACTCTTATGTGAAAAAAAAAAAATCTGTTGAATCTTTTTGTATTGGATCTCTATGTTTTGTATTCGGAGCGCCCATTGAATTGTCGAGCGCAAAAATAGTGCATTGAATTGATTGTTCGGCATACACGAAAAGAGGAAATGTGTGTCAAAAGAGAATTACAACAATAACAACAGCAACAACAACAAAAAAAAGAAAACAAAAAACGATGAAGCTCTGGAGTTATTGTTTGCACTTTCCATTGCTCCCCGACTTGTTCAAATCGAAATGAAGCTTTTTATTGTATATTGCTGTCGCTGCTTGGCTGTGTGTCTGCCGTTTGCCATGTGCCAACGGGTACGATGGAGGTTTAAGTGTATGATGGTACTCATCGTCATCCGCATTTTTAGGCATTGAGTGGCAACATTTGTTGTTAAGGCAAAAGTGGGAAAATGTTAATGTGGTAGAATGTATATGTGCAGTCATGTATGTATACCAAAAATGCCACACAATGCACGAATCAGCTTACGAACTGAAGCTCAAAGCATTCGCAACGTATTTGAGAAGCGTTCCATTGGAAAATCGAAATGTGTGTGACTGTGGAAGAAAGACCGAACAGAGAAAAAAGGCTTTTCTTTTTTAGGTTTTTTTTTATTTGAATGCCATTCGCTGCATTTTCATGATGTTAGCTTTTTTCCCTTGCGGACAAATAGAAATTTTAGTTCGCGTGCACATTGTGGAAAATCGATTTACCGAAAGAGAAAGAAAGAAGAAGTGGAATGCGATGTGTATGCAGTGCAGCGCATTTGAAGCAGAAAAAAAAAGTTTCATCGTGATTTTTGGGTGAGGTCTGAAAAAGAAAAAAAAAACGATCTCTACTGCTGAAAACTCCCACAGAATTTCATAACACACTTGAACTTTTTCAATTCCATTCAGTTCAACCGAGGGTACTACAAGCGTTATTTTTTTATCTGAATTCGTTGTAAAAAGATTTACTCAAATTCGAGAAGATGCAGATCAATTTAAGAAAAATGTAGGTAAAATCATTGATAAAATACCATCAATTAAAGTGTACTGAACATTGGAAATGGATGCGATTGGAAATAGCAAAAATAGAATATCGAAATGGTGCAAAACAATCAAATTTTAAATCGGGGTTTCTCCATCCGCTTTCGCGTGCTAAATGCAAACCAGCGACCGGCAAAAAGGCGGCATGCACAATTTCAAATTGCAACATGAATAACTAGATAATTATACGGTGCTTGCATTCAACGTTTCATATTCAATATAAGTCAGGCAAACGTGTCGAAATGTGCATGTGTGTATATGTGTTATAGCCAACACAATGAAATATTGTTTAAGTTATCGGTGGATAATATCCGTACAGCGAATCGATTGACAATTTCATTTGCATGCCATATACTTTGTTTTCTATTGGAAATGCCAGAAGCCTGGATAAGCATTCAATTGGAATAATGTAGGCCACACTTTTATATGGGCACAAACTCTTCATGTTCGCTCGTTTATTTTATTTTGCGTTGCATTTTGCTGGGTCATCACATTCAACTAGTCATTTTCAGAATAGAAAAAAAAATGAAGAAGTAGTAGAAAAATAGAAAGAAATTGGCAAAAGCAAATCTTTTCATTGCTTTTGTACAGGTGAAGGAGCAAATGCGATAGAAATTCAATTTTGCATTAACTCATCATTAATTTCATTCGCCGTCGTGAATCAAAGAAGAAGTCATATTGTATGCGTTATTTTCTCATTTATTTTCGCAATTCCATTTTAGCTCAGTTTAAATAGTTTCTATAGAAACCTACACAAACACATTTTACGACGAGTACAATGAACTTATTGATTTATATTGAAGGAATGATTTATTTGTTCTTCGTAATAATATTTGTACGAACATATTTGCGCACAAATATAAATATGCCAACGAAAATCTCGATTGAATTAAACGGAAATTTCAAAGTCTGAAGAGAATCGTTTCTTTATTTTAGAAGCATTTATGACAGTATCATATGCGCCTTTGATTTTATTACTGTACGTGACAATTCACATTTTTCGTTCGATGAATAAATATATAAAAATTGTGTGTTTGTGTAAATTGAAACGTTTCAGGAAATTACAATTTCTTCGAATATTTGAAATTACAAATGTAGGCATAAAATACAAAAAAGGAAACCAATACAATGTGATTTTCTGAACACCATTCGTGCACATTAAAAATTGCATATTATTCAACGTGTTCAAGGTGTGCAAAGTCGAATATAAATTCCATAAAGAAGAATTTACACGCTTCACCAGAATCTATTGTAAATAAATTAATTAAATTCAAGCCGTGAGAAAGTACACTGAATAAATTGGAAAAAAATATATGCTTAAAGTCTTGAATTCGTAGGATTGAATTTAAAACACAGCTGATTGACTTTTTTCGCTCAATGCTGCATCATTAGTCGTAATTGTGTGAAATTCAAAAGGGTGTAATACCTTTGAATCAGCATTAATTCGATGAAATCCCCACTTTGACTTCGTATCCAATCTTTGTATGTACCAATTATTGCGTTGCGTATAATGTTGGAGAAGAGAAAGCTTTATTCAATGCGCGTCTTAAAGGTAAAACGATTCTTTTTCTTTCTCATTTCATTCAACACTCCCTTTCAAGAACGTAGCTGTTGGAACACTTCGACATGATATTGCGTTTGCAACGAAAAACTCTTGTCTGATCCTTTGCCAGCTTTCGGGAATACTTATTTCATTTGCATTAGCTCAGCATTTTGTATATATGTAAATAGCTTCCTGTATTTGCAGCCTTCTGTCTTCCGCAACGTCATATTTTAATCAACTTTTCATTTAATAATAATCATCTATATTTACACAAAGTAACACAATGTATGCTGACTCACTCTGTGTAATTTTTCATCATCATCATCGTCGTCATGATCGATTCTATATATATATATAACATTGTACTGTAAAACTAACAAGTATCAGGACAATTTATTATGCTAACTCACACTATGTATACAAAATTACACTGCTCAGCTATATAATATTATAAATGAAAAAAATGAAAATTGTTCGAGTTTATTCTATGCAATTTTCAACATTGACTTCTACTAATTGGAACGATATATATGATTTGATAAATTATTATCAACTGTCTATCCAAAAGCTCTCTCTCTTTTTTTTTCAATATTTACTACAATGTTGCTATATCGATTATTCTATTGGATTTTTGTATTGAACTATCTAAATTATATTTAGTTCTACATAACTCTACGTATCACAGCCTGTGTAACCTTTTGAATGTATCGAATGCCAGCGGAATTTCTTATATTAAAAATATTCGAAATGTTCTTTTCTCCACTATTCGGAGAAATCCTGTCGGAGTGTTATTATCGCAAAAGCAGATACATTTTTGTAAGCTTCTAGGTAAACGAAACATCTTTTCGTACCACCTGTCCACAAAATCGTATTTTATAGAGTTGAAGTATCTAACACTGCTTGAACCTATGCATGTTCAATCTTTGTCACACATATGTATCACGTTCTATAAAATATTGTATTTTGGAATGTTATAATATGCCCAGAATTTACCACAAAATGGACAATCCTCCGAAGCCATTCACATACAGTAGAACGAAGAAAGAGAGAGAGAGAGAGAGAGAGAGAGAGAAATAGTGCAGTTTTTTAAATTTAAACTGATGACATGAATTGTAGACTTTCGAACCACTGGAATTTATGCAAATCATGCATTTCACTGACTAAGCATGTTGACGGGCAAAATTCAATCAAAATTGAATTTCATCAACATGAATGTGGTTGATTGTTTTGTAAATCATTTAGTTTTTGCTTCTGCATGAGTGAAGGACAATTCCTATTGAAATTCATGTCCATTGCTATTCATCGATAACCGCATAAAATTCTTTGTAAAGTGTTAAATTAAATTCTAAATTGTTCAAGTCAATCGAATTCCCTTTTGGCTTTTCAAAATCAACAAAATATTTTCAGAGAGAGAGAGAGAGAGAAAGAAAAAAAACTGTTTATTCTCAAACTACTTGAATTCAAAGTTAAGCCTCAAATAACTCTATATTATGGTTAAATATGTTCTAATTTATATCTAAATTGTTCGGTTATACGGGAGAAAATGGCTATAAACAGCATTTTATTAACTGAAAATAAAATGAGAAATTAACTTAAAATTCAGCTACAAACAAAAAAGTGAGAGTAACGATTGTTGGATGAAGCAACTCTAAAAGCTGATAAACACCCAAAACAATCGCTCTGAACAAAAAATTGACAGTAAAAAGTGCTGAATCTAATTTGAAACATTTGTAATAGTACTTACGCTAATGTTATTACTACGAAATCCAGCCAATTCCACGCATCACGCAGATACGTGAACGGACACAAAATGAAACCGCGGGCCATCACTTTTACAGCTGATTCAAATGTGTAGATTCCAGTGAATATCACCCTAGACAAGTTCAAAAATAAATGATGAACAAATGCTCTTTCTCACAAAATAAATCACATTACTGTGCAAGAATCATTTTATAAGGAACACTACTTCTAAATAAAATGTTAATAATCTCTTTTGTATGCGCCGTAAAATGTTCATTAACCGTCAGGTTCATAAAGCCCTTGAACTTTTTTTTTCTACCATCAAACCAAAATGTCGATTGTTGCTCTTGAATAAGCAACGATGGTGAGTAAATTTTGTATGAAAAGAGGGTTGTGATTCAGCACAATCCTTGAGAAAATACCACTTTATTTATGTAATTAATGCTTAATAATCATAATTAACTCTATTTTAATTGCAATCAAACCGACACAATGTGAAACGCTTACTTCTTGGCTTTTATTACAATGAATTGAAATGAATGGAACCGCAAAGCTTCGGTGAAGATAAAATACTACGATACAACTGTCTCACTCGGCGAACAACAACAACAATAAATTCGGTTGTAAAAAAAACAACAACCGAAAACTCATATTGAAAACATATATTAAAGAAATGTGTATTAGAAGAAGATGTACTTACTCGGTTGATTCGACGATTGGCGACGCCGGCATTATCATTAATACACAATTTGTGAGAATTGTAAAGATGATTAAACAAGAAAAAATTGGATGCACTAAAATATAAATAGCTACACGACGAATTGGATTAAACGGGTCAAGTAACCACATTGCTTTGGTTGCGGAAAAGCGAAAAATATCCTTTCCTTTACTAACAACTACAAATGTCTGAAAAAAGAGAAACAAAACAACAAATTGTTGAATATAAATGTGAATAATAAAAAAATTGATGAATAACATATTTGCTACAATTATTGAACGCTACAAGAATGAATGCAAATGTAAATTAGATCAGACGAAATACAAATACAATAAACGTTGTATTAACCGAAGTCATCACCTCAAGGAGATTCAAAGGGATATTCAGATTATAAAAAGTCTTAGTAGTAGCTGCTAGAAATCGCATCTAGTGGCTTCTAACAGATGCCAATTGCTACTTGTCCCTTTAGCATCGCAATACATCTCTTTGTATAAGAATTCCGATCTTCAAGAAATTAAAGGTACACATTGGAAAACTGACTGATTTCATCTTCTACCAATTTTGCGAACAAATTTCACTGGCATAACATTTTACCGTGTGAGATTAGATAATTAGTCCTCTATTCTGTCGTTACTAATCAGAAAACATAAGGTAGACGTTTTTATTTCTCCCTTTCGACAAAATAAAAAAAACTTGAACTAAATTGAAGGTATAAACACGTAATCTAATGGGTGTTCAAATCTATTCATCAAATCGAAATGATAGAAAACTGTTTTTACCCCAACAATTCTTTAAACAGACAAAGACAAGTACAATTGTGATAGTTAATTGTGTTAAAAATGTGTATTTAAAAAAAACAATTGAAAAAAGTTGTTCGTCATCGACATTCGTCACTAAATGATCAAATTGAAATTCAAATGAGATAACGCAAACGAATGGCACATAAATCAATATTAGAAAAACGAAATGTCCTGATCACGATATCATAAAGTAAGTTTAAATGAGGAATGCGCGCATCTAACGTTATAAGTACTATATGGTATATACCCATAAACAAATTGGCGCAATTTGCATTTGACTTCCATTAGACGAGTATATATACTCTTTATGTGCTTTCACTTTGTATATTTTCGGCTATATGAAAGAAACAACAAAAAAATGCTTCGTCAGGCTCTCTTTATTGTTTGGAACGAGCCAAAAGTGAGCCGTGAAGAAAATAAACCGAAACAAAAGAAAAATGAAGCAGTCTCTGCATTTCAATCAATAACACTGGTAACACATACACACATTTTTCGTGACTAAATAGTACACGTTCGCACTGTATCCATAAGCGATGTAAGGGAAAAAACGAACGAACACTGGGAAAATACATTATTCAGCACATAAAGTACTGAAACATATAGCCCAGAAATCCACATATTTATTGTTCACAATGAATTCGAAGCAAAATATGTGTACTAGTCACAATTCGTCCGACAACAAATGAAGAAGAAATATAAATTCCAAATGTTAAAACAAAATGGAACCCAAAATAAAACGGCGACAACAAAACTATAAATCGCATACTCACACAATCTGCGAGAATGTCGAAACAATGCAAAATTACAGTGCAGCAGTTGGTTTGTGTGTGCTGAATTTGAGATGGAAATTTCGTTACCATTCGTAATTCGGTGTGTTTTGAATGCGAATGGAAATAGTTGTGTTTAAGAGAGATATGAATTTCCGAAGAAAAGGTTGAGAGAGTGGAGGAAGAGAGATATAGAGAGAACAAAAGAAAAAGCTTACCAGTTGATTCGAATAATAATTGTCGATATCCTCGAGAGGAGTGGAGGCCAGTTCCGCTGGAAAAGAAGACTGCAATCGAACAGGTATAGGTGCACCCTGTTCGAGTGTAGGATCCGGTTGTGGGCCTTCATCTTCATCGTCGTCATCATATCGGATCTATTGAAACGCATTCGTATCCAGAGTCCACCATGTACAGAGTGTGAAATGTTGAAAACGAACGAAACCATCATTAGAAAATTGTCAAATACAAATGTAATGTGATTTTTGCTTTAAAAAAAACGCACAAATACAATTTATCGAAATATAAAATAATAAGAAAGAAATGAGCTTTGTTGTTGTATAGTATATTAATCTATCAAGGCACAATTTTGTATCACCAATTTTCAACTTACAAACATAATACAAGATATAAGTTTAGGAGAAAGATTTTGCTTCACAAATTACAATTGAATAATGCAGAATTTATTTTTATTTGGTTTTTGTTTGGTGTAGACAGCACACAAAGCACAATACACAAAGCGGAAGCAAAACAACACAAATTACGCTTCTAAGGAGTATAAAAAACACACACAACAGCCAAAGTTTATATATTTAGTGGAAAAGTTGAAATGATAGAGATACTTATTTATAAATCAACAACATGCACAAAAGAGTACATAGATTTGACATGCAAAACGAAAAACCATGACTGTGCATTAAAAATTCCAAACCAAAAAGAAAATATTATTGATATCAAAGTATTTGATATCATAAACCATACACACATGCATTTTACATATAGATTTATATATATCTAGCTTAAATTTATTTGTACACATGGAGCTGTCCATATGTGTGGCTGAGGACCTTCAAAAAATCTAGCTATAAGTAGATCGGCGTTGACAAATTGATACCAAGCCTGGTAATGACGCAAATATACTCTTCGATAAAAGTTAACACAGCATGAGTGGCAAAAATTAATGGGCGAGAGATAAAAAAAAACTACCAAAAAACACCATGAAAATTCGTCCATAACATGACGCGCACGGTGGTTTAAAAATGAAATTCGAAAAATTCACGCCGAGTACCGAAGAATGTTCGTGAAAAGTCATTTTTATTCATTTGCTTTTTCTTTGAGAGAGAAAACACAAATTCAAATGAATTTTGTCCATGTTGATGCTTCTTCGCCAACCGCTCATTGTTGGCGACACTACTGAATATTAATAATTCTCGCCTCCACTTCTTCGTTCTATGTTCTATCCTCTTACAATCAAATAGAATAACGAATGACGAAATGTCGTCTATTATTATCAAGAAGATAAAAAACAGAGAGAAAGTGGTCTGCAAGCACATTCTATGCCAGCCCACGCCATTTTACAAATGCATTTGCTTTTCACCATGTGCCTTTTTTTGTTGCTACAAAACACAAATTGGAAAATGGCAAAAAAAATTATTCTGTAAACAGTTTGATGAGGTTTTTTTGGTTTATCGTTAAGCTTTTCTAGCCATTCACATACAAACATACAGATAGTAATCTATATTGGTGTTTGTTTAACATTGAGAATATTCGCAATTGAACGATTTTAGACTTTGTCTGCAATGAAATTTACTGTGGATGATTCCGAATCAACGAGCACAACATTTTGAATTGCATTACAAATTGGCGAACTGAATGCATTCCAAAACAGTTTTAGAACGTGTCTAATCACATAGCAAATGATGAGATGCACACCGCAGATGGACAATATTGTTCGATTTACTTTCAGTTCTTTGCATTTCCATTCGACCCCAAATACAAAACGAACAATTCAAAAATCAATGCTTTTGCATTGAAGCGATATGTAAAGCCAGCCATTTTTAGTATATAGACATTTCATTTTGTGTATTTTAGATCTGGTATCTGGATCATCACACGATATACTGATGCGAAAATGTTTTTGTTAAATTTCAAGTTCGCAAATAATGTCGTATTTCTAAACCAAACAACCATAATGTGTAAGCTCTGCTTATGATATAAACCAAAAACCTCGAGAGACAACATGATAATTTTAAAAAAGGGCAAAAAACACAGCCAAAAACTCAGATAATAAAATTGGTTAATTATGTAATTGGAACAAAGATGATAACTGTTGGATTGTGAATGAGAAAAATGACGACCAGAATTTTAGATTGGATTTAATCCAAATACTCATTTCAATATCATTCAGTTTTTGTTTTAAATTTGCATTCCGCCTCACTTTCTCTCTCCCTCTGCGATAAAAATATTCGGATTCTTAGAAATAAAAAATTGAAAATTATTTTGCGGCGAGAAGCGAATAGTCAAAAGTTATATCATTATCATTATGACTATTAAACAGTGGCTATATTCTATTTTAAACATTTTTCTCCACAAATTTTGTATCTACATATAAATTTCTGTTACAATTCAGTGTAGATAATTTTAAATAAATTAAAAATCGAGATTCTTCATTTTTTTTAAAGACCTATCCTCCGTTTGAATATGAACATCGAAGGAACATTTTGCAATCAAATTATATTTCCAGAGTTTGATGAAAATATGCATTTCAATTGCGAACTGAATCAAAAAACTTTTTTCTCTATTTTCAGTTTGATGTCTGGTGTGAAATGTAACTAATAGTTCGAAATTGAAGTAATGTGTAATATTGATATCTATAGAATGTTATGTATATGACTAGTCACCTTGAAATCTAACATGGATGGCTCAGGTTAATCAAAACTTTCAATTGAAATGTCAATATTGGCTAAAAAAACAGCCCACTCAGCTTGACTGCTGGAGTGTTTCAAAGGATTCATTGAACTAAACAGTTTTGCCGACTCTTTGGTAGTTTGGATAATATAATAATAGTTATTAATAAAATGTCGAGTGACTTTTTTCACCAATGAGGTAGTAAGTTCTGATATTTTTCTCTTGAAGGTAATTCCAAATCCGAAAAGGTAATAACACCAATCAAAAGAAATAAAAAAGTGGTTTTGTCTATTGCAAAAATTCCTGCTGGAATATTCTTCATTTCGAATATTTGAAGGGGTCCTCTTGTGAGTATCAATAAAGATGATCACAAGAAAGTAGCTTCTGCAAATGTACACACATAAATATATTTTGCCATCATAATTCCAAATACATTTTATCCTTCTTCATTATTAGACTTGTGTGCGTATATCTATTTCATTCACACAGCGTTCATATCTCGAAGTGTTTGTGTGAATTTTTTCTTTCGTTGCGTTGAATATATTTTCCGTTTTTATGGCTATTCCCGGAATCATAAATTATATTTAAAGCAAACAAATATAATAGCATTTTTTCGACACATACATATACAAAATTCAATTTCTTCCGCGTAACAGTAGCAAAGGCATATTATACATTTGTTTTATAACATCAATATCATTCATGATTGGACTTTTTTTCTGCAACTTTTTTGCCAAAGGGGTAGGCAATTTTTTTTCGGCTGAAAAATTGAGCGTTTTTTGTCACATTGAATAAAGTCATTAGGCTAAATATGACCAAAGGGATAGCAATTTAAACGATGAATTGCTCGCAGCAAACTAACAAATCGTCACTTAGAAGATGGCGTTAAAATGAATAAAACCTTTGCCGTATTCAGTTCCATTTTGTGTAGGCGTATTCATATCAAAGCCACAGGCATTACTTTGAACTTTAACATACGTAGCTAGCGATGTCTTTTTTTGGAAACGGAAAAAATTAGTTGCGAGGTGCTTCGGATCATAAATGATCTGTGTGTACGTGACACATATAACGATACCACGATTAATATTATAGTACCACTATTACTAGTAGAAGAATTCCAGTGAAGTTTAGCTTAGGCACGGAAGAAAAAAAAACGAAATAAGTGAGAAAATGTTCTGTTCTCTTTCCATGAATGTGGTGGAGGAGAACGAAAGAAAACGCAACAATTTGTGCTGAAAAGAGAAAAAGGTCACATGAAATTATGGCGACTTAAATACAAAAGCTGTTACAATTTTTCTAGCTAGTCACCAGTTTCAGGACAAATGCATCGAATGAGCAAAATGTGGATTTATGTGCGAACAAATCTTGGTTGATCGCTTTTTCTAGATGCGGCTAGTGCGTAGCACATAAACAACCACACTCACAAATACACAAATAAAATTAAGTTGTGTGCTGTACTCGCTGGTTTTTTTCCTTGCTGCTGAACCAATTTGTGATAATTGAGCCAAGTCGGCACCATGTTAGTATGCCTTTGAAAGGCACAATATTTATTTGGCACAATATTCAAGGGAAAATGGCTTATTTTATTTTCCGTTGGGTGCAGTTTTAGTTGGCGTATAAGCAAAAGGATTTTCAAGCGTTTTATTGTTAATTATTATTACGATATAAGTGGATAAATAGCTTAAGTTATTCTGGCCTCTGCATCAACACAATAAAACAATTGTATTTTTTTTTTGTTTCTCGACTGGATTTACTTCTCCGATTTCGTCGAATTGTTGAGCCGAAAAACCAACAACAACCAATTCATTGAAATTAAATTTTAATTCAATTTCGCCGCTCGTGTGCAAGAGGCATGAAGAAAATTACATTTCATTTGATGCAAAATGCAAGCACGAGAATATGATTCTGGATTTGTTGAACAGTATCAACTGAACTTTCACTAATTCTGTTGAATAAGAATTTGATTATAAAAAATTAAACCGAAGACAATCATTGTGTTGGATGGCAACAACTTTCTTGTTGTTGGTTGAATACGAAACGAATTGGTATTCACATATATTTTACAATGTGTGAAAGATACCATGGGACACAAAGAATTTTAATTCGAAAAATTTAGTTTTAGTTTGTGTATTTGTGAAACAGGTGTTGAATAGTGACAACCTATCAAAATCCCACATTCGATTAAGAAATCCAGCAAATGTAGTGTACAGTATTCTCTTGGAAGAAATGTTCGAAAAATGTCTACACTGGAAGCAACCGTTGTAAATCGTTTTTATTGCGCCCACATGAATTCCGAGAAATTGTGCAGACGAAGTGGCGGAGAAATAGAGATACAGTTAATAGAATGTGACCCATTTTCTAATAATTTGCACAATAACGCGTTTTGTATTTCAAGTATTACGAAAAGCATTAAAAACCAATGGCATTGATATCTAGGCGGATGGAGTACATTCTTTGCAATACAACAGTG